AAAAGAATATAAGAATTTTGCGTTAAAGAATTTATGGAAGAATAAAACATTAAATGTCGTTTCTTAATTTTACAAAGCAACACATTAGTTTTATTTCATTCTAAATCATAAGATTTCATTCTAAATCATAGAAATCATAAGACTGCTTCGTTGGCCGAGTGGTCGCAAGTGCGACTGCCGGGCAAGGGGTCTCGGGTTCGATTCCCGGGCCGAGCAAAGTATTACTGGGTTTTTAAAAAAAAATCTCAGTAGTAGCACGGAGTCTGGAATTGTGCCCGGTATATGGCAATAGGCTCACCCCCTATTACATGGGACTCATAACATAAATAGTGAAAAGTGGGTGTTACATTGTACAGTGGCATTAAGTGCCTTAACTCGTTGAGTACCGTCATTATAGACACAATTAAAGAATAATAGGTTGCGGTCACCGGTGTCCTCGCGGTGTTTCACAGTTTATATTAGAGTGGGCTGCGCGACATCGCCGTGGCTGCACACGTTGCTCATAAGGTAGAACTCCTCTGTGGTTCGAAACTAGTAGAGCTTTTCTCAGTACATTCACGTGAGTAATCCGCGATTTTTAGTTAATTTAGTATTTGCTTCTCTTATATCTTTTTCTTCAACTGTTTTATAAATTTACTGCAGGACTATGAGCCTTTTTTGTAAAAAACCTGGGTGAGATTGTTTGGAAAAAACCCAGTAATACTTTGCCCGACCTGGGAATTGAACCCGAGACCCTTTAAATTAACGACTTCTAAATAAGAGGGGTTTAAAGTCGGTTTTTTTAAACATAGTTTATAAATGAATTGTATGTTACTAGCTGTTACCAGCGACTTCGTTCGCGTGAAATTATTCATATTTCTTCTTAATTTATACTTTTTTGACCCGACAACGTGTTGATTGGCGAGGCGTATTTGAGAGCTAGTATGAAACGGAACGTTTATTGTCTACTCAAGATGGCGACTGCTGTTTGTCTGTCAGTGTCATTAAAATGAATTAATAAAACGAAATAATCTCCTCAATCCGAATTTTGCGGATATATGTTGTCGACTCGAAATCGTCATTTTTTTATGTTTTGTTATTCAGGTAATGTTTCGATCGAGTCTACCTTGACGAAATCTTATAGGTACTATTGTATAAAGCGGAAGAGAGTTGAGAGAGTTTGTTTTTTGTTTGTTTGTTTGAACGCGCTAATCTCCGTAACTACAAGTCTGTTTTTAATAATTCTTTTAGTGTTGGATAGCGCATTTATAGAGGATGGCTATAGGCTATAAAACATCACTCTAAGACCAATAGGAGCAAAGCGTGTGAAACCGCACGAAAGTAGCTAGTTATTAGTATAGATAGAAGAGATTATCGTACAATGTTAATAAACTTGGATACTTAGTGTGCAGAGTACCTGTTCTTTTATTTAATTGTTTATGCTAAGTATGCGAGTGAAACCGCAAACGACAGTAGTGTATAACATAGTAACTAGAGTGACCACACTTTGACCGATGTATGACGTGTTGAACATAACATTGTATGCACAAGTCATTAGTAGTAACAGTTGGTAACCACAAAACCGCTTCTTATATTGTGAACTGTTTTTTTTTACTTCAGTAGGTACTTATGCCGCTTTTTAAGGAATAAGCCGGTAAACGAGCACACGGAACACCTGATGGTAAGCAATCGTAACCGCCCTTAGACACCCAAAACACCAGAGGTGTTACAAGTACATTCAGGTTTAGGAATTTAGGGATTCTTGGTATTCGGGGATTGGAGAGATTAAGGAGATTATATATTAGATACCCCCCGGTAATTGAGCCTCCGGTAACATCACTGACATAAAAATACATAACGCAAGTGTTGTTGCACGTCAGTTTTCCCCCCTCAAAAAACGATCCATAAAGATTTATCGGATACTCTAAATAGACTGCAAAACCTTCACTGTGTAAAACATATTGATGTACCTCGACATGTGTTTTACTAAACCACGTAAAAGATAAGAGAAAACTACGCGACGAGATAACGGTTAAAAATCACACTTTTCACCACCTTTAACCAAATTTGGCACACTGTACAAAGTAATAAGAAAACCTGTAAAAACAGCTATGTCATCTTCGTAATCGATATGTTGTACTGGAGAAATTATTTAGTTAGAAAGTGTCACATGGTGGCTACAATTTACTATGACAGTGAAACCCTGGCTCTCTCGTCTCGTGGCTACCGACTATGGCTTAAATACTAGCTTTGACGGGCAACCTAGTTGACGTATCATCATTGTTGTCGTTTCTAGAGAGGAGGAGCAAAAATATAGACACGTTTTTCGTAAGATTTTAATAAAAGAACTTGGATTTTGTCTTATATCGCATAATTATGTCTTATTAGATTAATGGTATTTAGTTTTCATTTTTTCGAAAATATATCCTAATCCTTACTTCCTTACTAATATTATAAATCGGAAAGTGAGTTTGTTTGTTTGTTGGTTTGTTCCGCCTTCACGCCGTAACTACTCAACCGATTGCTTTGAAATTTTGCAGACGTAAAGTTAGAAGTCCGGATTAAATAATAGGGTACTTTTTAACCCGAAAAAAAATGATATTCCCGAGAAAAAACGAAAAGTATTGGTATAGATGGCGCTGTGTGTATTGGTATATGTCACATTAGGCTACTTTTCATTCTTTTGTGACGCGAGCGAAGCCGCGGGTAAAAGCTAGTTTCTTACTTATATTATAAATCGGAAAGTGAGTTTGTTTGTTTGTTCCGCCTTCACGCCGTAACCACTAGACCGATTGCTTTGAAATTTTGCAGTCGTAAAGTTAGAAGTCTGGATTAAATAATGGGGTACTTTTTATCACGGAAAAAAATGATATTTCCTAGGAAAAACAAAAATATTGGTATAGTTGGCGCTGTATGTAATGGTATAGATGGCGTTGTATGTAATTTAAAACCAGTCAACGAATTACCTACTTATTGGAAAAATCTAAATAGCGCGATATAACCGAATTCCACGCGAGAGGAAAGCTATTTGTTTGTTTGCCTGTCTTAAACGGCAGAACGGAGGTACTAATTAACGTGATTTTTTAACTGAAGGTAGTTGAACGGATGGATAGTCACATAGGCTACTTTTTATCTTTTTGTGACGCGAGCGAAGCCGCGGGTAAAAGCTAGTACTCAATAATTGTAACTAGTATTGTTCCTAGCAAATGCCAATAGAATCACTTCAGTTACCTTTATCTTCTAACATGGGACTTATCACAGAACTGTTCGTATTACGTTGTTTTATGTGCAGTTGTATACTTGTTTTTACCCCTTTGGACGTGTTTCATTGTATTTGAGTTACCAAAATTTCTCAAAATTCGTGCGGATCTGGTGGTTAAGACGCCCGCTAAGTCGTGGTGGCCCGGAATTTTAGACGCCCGCTTCTCATGCATGAGGCTGCGGGTCGAAACCTACCAACGGCAAGTACCAATGTGACTTTTTCTATAACCTATATATCTGTAGATTTACTAACTGAGATAGAATTTTGACACATTTTGTATGGAGCTTATGTGAAAATTCTATCTCAGTAAGCAAATCTACAGATAGATAAGTTATAGAAAACTGGCCGTTGGATTACTCAGGCACCACTGATAAACGGTGAAGGAAAACATCGTTAGGAAACCTGGACTTATAATTTCGAATTACAAGTTTGAAATCGCTAATCCGGAATGAGCAAGCGTGGTGATTAATGCTCAAACCTCCGTGTGAGAAGAGGCTTTGGTCAGTACTAGGCACTTATAGGCTGTTGATCTATGATGAATCAATCCATTAGGTGGCTTAACTGAACTTAGAATTATATATTTACTTTAAATCTTGGAAATTCAGATTTGAAATCACACGTCCAAAGAGGTTGTTCTGAGAAATCGTTTTGGAGAAATCCCTTCTTCTATACATACACATACATAGTCCATTCAGTTCGTGTATCTTGTATGACTCGAGAAAGTCTAGATTAATGACATTTTTATGCATACAATGTATGGACATTGTATGGTCAAACATTTATGTGGACAAAGACGTATGTATGTGTTTTGTATGGGTACATACAAAGGAGAAATCGAGTAGAGGAACATACATACACACAAAGGTATATCAATATGCTTGTTCTTTAGGCTTAAACATAAAAAGTAAACAAGAATAATTTTTTTAAAGTAGATCAAGTGTGGGAGAGCCATGCTTCGGCACGAATGGGGCTGGCTCGACCGGAGTGATACCACGGCCGTGCAGAAAACCATAGTGAAACAACGCTTGCGTAGTGTTTCATGTTATTGAGGTTACCGGAGGCCCAATTAGTCCCGTCCCCCTCCCTGAATCCCCAACAATCCTCAAATTCCTAATTCCCAAAAGGCTGGTACACTTGTAACGCCTCTGGTGTTCCAGGTGTCCATGGGCGACGACGATTGCTTACTATTAGGTTATCCGTCAGCTCGTTTACCGGCTTATCCCGTTAAACAAAATTAAATTGGGCCTACGTTATGTCTGCTTGAGCGATATAGTTTAATGATTAAATTTTGAAATTATCTACGGAATAACAGTGTCTCAAAATGCCGGAGGTTTAAAAGCTAAAACATCGTTATCACAATAGAATTTACATTACCTATTTTTATAATAACTATTATATCATATTACATACAAAATTAACTAAAAATCGTGGGTTACTCACGTGAATATACTGAGAAAAGCAGAAAAGCCTACGCTTAGGCTGCGCGTCGTCGCCGCGACCGTGCACGCTGCTCATTAGGAAGAGCCTGTGGCTCGAAACTAGTAGAGCTTTCCTCAGTATTTTCACGTGAGTTACCCGTGATTTTTAGTTAACTTATAATACCTGTTTCTAAATAAACTTACTTAAATTATTAATCAAGTTAAACCGCTGTAGTCTAACTAAATAACTTTGACTTTAACTTTGACTATGACTTTGATTTTGACTTTGAATCTAACTGAATATTATTTTAAACTAACCACCAAACCTTTTTCTTTTACAGAATCAAGAAAACTCTTCGGCGGGTACAGAATAACCCCAACCTACTGCAAGGCATCGCGCGCAGCAAAATACAATAGAGGCAACACCATATGCATGTTCAACCATGAGTGCTACCAACGAGGTGGTGAAGTGGTTGGAGCCTGCATGGACGGATTTCTCTTCGGAGCTTGCTGCCAACTAAAATCAGACAGCCAGTCCCACATACCTAAAGGTCCAGGCATCGTGATGACCAGTTACTTAGACTACCCAGACGCTACGGAAGGCGACGATTACGACGCTGAAGAACTTAGTGCTCTTCATAACAGTTTCAAACCTGTAGTCACTCCAGGGTACAGACCAGCTGATAAAACTGCAGCTACTACTCTCAAACCAGAAGATTTGAGCACAGAAGCCGAACATGAGCTAATTTCTGAAGGTCTTACTCAAATTACTAATACTTTGTTAAGTTCTCCACCTAAAGATAGTAATGGAATTATCTATATGAAACCTAAACCAGATTATTATACCCACAGCAGTATAGACCATGGCGGTCCTGATACTATTCTGGTTCATACAAACGGTTCTGTAGTTGATAACGTTGTTAGGCCTTCAGATTTTAATATACAGCTGTCTTCAATGCAGACGAAACCGACTGTGACACCCAGTACGTCGACTACAGAGCCTCAAAGGACTGTGTCTACTCATAGACCTGTTAAACCAATCTTTAGACCAAAACCTGTGACATCAACGGAGAAATATGTCCCAGTATCAACAATCACCACCAAAAACACACAGAGAGTTCCAGAGCTATCGTCCATTAATAGCATAATTCAAATGCTTAATGACAGTACTCCAAGTATGAAGGAAGATGTGACGCCATCAATCGATATTATGGAGACGAAATCATCTCCATCTCCTTCATATTCCTACACTTACCCCAGCTTCTCATCCACTGGACACTACGTCACTCTTAAACCAACTTCTCTATCAACGTATATAACTAAAAAACCAACAACGCCAAGCAAGAAGCCATCGTATGACTACGTACATACGACTCCTAATAGCTTGCCGCAGGATGATAAGCCAACGTCTTACTATTCCTCGCCTAGTCCTAGTCATTCCACTAGTCAAGCTATTGAAGCTTTTAACAGATATCCTACGGATCCTACTGATTTTGGAGACCTTTCCACGTTCAGCTATGTCAGTTCCACCACTACCCAAAGACCGACAACCACCAAAAAGCCACCATCAACGAGCTATGTCACTGGCGCCAGCCCCATCAGAAGACCAGCGTTACCATCAAATGTAGTGACTTATGACGCAGTAGACACCTTCTCAAGCGTCACACCGACTGTCATAGTCCTCAATGACATACACACCACGAAAACGCCATTAGACGCAGACGAACCACAATTCGTTGAAATATCTCAGGAGCCATTCAAAAAGCCTGTAAGCCATATCACCGTAAACAACCATATCGCAGCTACTAACAATATTTATATGGGTAAACCACCGACTACATCATCTCCTACCGTTGTTATAACTCCAAAACCTGGTTTAACGACTCCTTATCCAATAAAGGGATCAATAGGGACCAGACCACTTCCAATTTTGACCAGCCCTGTCATGGACTTCACTGAGGCACCAACGACGAACAAACCAGAGATGCAAACATCGCCAGATGATTTAATAAACTTCCCACCAGTCAGAAATCCAATGCTGAATGCTACTGGCTCAAACCCAGCACTATACAACACAAGTATTTCGCTATCAGACAATGAATTAGACATTCTACACGACGTAGAATTCACGACACCAACGTGGCAGATGGACGATAAACTGAACGAGAAAATGAATGTCTTCGTCAACAAAATCGTTGGTAATCTACAAGGAACGTTCCAAGAATTGCATGATATAGTAATTCTTGGAAGAAAACCGAACGACACGGCTACAAAAACGACGACGGTGAAGCCTAAACGGACACCACCGACGACAAAGAGGCCATTTTTGACGACAACAAAGAGGCCAGTACGGTTGACGACAGCGAAGGTCACGACACGACGGCCAACGGTGAAGACGACTAAAAAGCCGGTACGGCTGACGACGCAGTATCGACGGCCTACCACAACGCAGCCGCCGACCACTACCGCCCCACCTACGAAGAAACCGGTAAGATAGAAATGATCTTGATATCTTTGCTAGTTAGTAATCATTAGGGTGACTTTAAGTCTAAGATTTGATAAATTTTTAGATAAGGAATATTTCTTTTATACTTCTACTAAATTGGTTCATATCTAATTGGTTTATGAGAAATGTGTATGAAAATGATCTTGATAATAAAGATATAGACAAGTACACATTTTTTCTTGACTAATGCAGTACTTATCAAAATATTCTCAATGTTCTACTTTAATCACGAAATATTCTAAAATAACTGGTATGCCGTCTTTGTATTCCACCACATTTTCCAGGTGACCACCACGAAAAAACCGAAACCAACGAAGAAAGTGACGACAACCACTCAAGCCGCCACGACCACCACCGAGCTGGCTGACGAGGTAACCACCGAGAATTACGTCGAACGACCTATCGATTACAACGACAAGAATTGTAAGTATCGTAATGTATAAGACTGTTGGTAGAAATTCTGGACAAGTTTTAAAATTTTCAGTCATTGTGGAGTTTGAATTGACAAAAGGTCTGTTATAAATTACAGTAAAAACGATTAATTGATTAAACAAACTAGGGTCTGAAGAGGAAGAGGAGGCTTTGAAATCAATAATCTTAGTAATATTTTGCAACAATAATAATGTTAGTGAACCACTATTTCTTATCGATTGACCGGTTAAACTTGACTTCAATCATTGTTACCATTTACTTTTTTTTATTTTTTTCATTTGTTTTAGTGTATCTTAAATAATAGTTAGCATTTATTCTATTTAAGTTTATATTATATATGTACGTGACCATGATTGAAAAACTATTTTACGTTATCATCTTCTAAAACATAAATTGTATATTCAAATATTCCAATTCAACGCCCAGCCGGTCATCCCAATGACCTGGCAACTTTTCATGGATCACCTGATGGTAAGCAATCGGCGTCGCCCATTGACACCCGAATCACCAGAGCCGTAAAAGTGCGTTACCTGCCTTTTGGGAATTAGATTGAGGATTGTGGGGGATTCGGGGATTGGGGAAGGGGGTAATTGGGCCTCCGGTAACCTCACTTACACGACGAAACACAACGCAAGCGTTGTTTCACGTCTGTTTTCTGTGAGGCCGGGATATCAGTCCGGTCGAGCCGGCCCATTCGTGCCGAAGCATGGCTCTCCCACACTCAACTCAACTCTTACATCCTTCAGCCATAGTGAAAAGACTAAAGAGGAATGATGTCTTCTGAAAAGGCAGATGAGACGATGACCTCGTCGTCTTCCATTCTAGATTCTACTCAACTCATCTGCTTATAGGCTTGCGACTGATTGCTAATCTGAATTAAAAAAAAATCCTAAAATTTCCATCACGCCTTTCATTCCCGAAGGGGGCATAGGTGCACATTTCGGCACTTAATGCCACTGTACAATGAAACACCCACTTTTCACTATTTATGTTATGAGTCCCATGTAATAGGGAGTGAGCCTATTGCCATTTACCGCACATTTCCAGACTCCGTGCTACCACTGAGATTTTTAAAAACCCAGTAATACTTTGCCCGACCCGGGAATCGAACCCGAGACCGCTTGCCCGGCAGTCGCACTTGCGACCAATCGGCCAGCGAGGCAGTCTAAGCCAAAATCTAAATCATTCCTTTCTATAGTTACTGATAATCTCTTTAAAAATCTTTCAGTATGCGGCGTACGTCCCCTGGCTAAAACCGGCCGTATAGTTGGCGGCAAAAGTGCCAACTTCGGTGAGTGGCCCTGGCAGGTGCTGGTGAGGGAATCCACGTGGCTCGGTCTATTCACCAAGAACAAGTGTGGAGGAGTCCTTATCACCAACAGATTCGTCACCACCGCTGCCCATTGTCAACCTGGGTAAGTATGGTTTTTTATAAGATGTGTCGGCAAACAGATAGTACAGACTAATCACCTGATGGTAAGCAAAGTCAAAGTCAAAGCATTTATTTCAATTAAACCATAATTTGGTACTATTGAAAAGTCAACAAATACAAAATAAATAATAGTCTGTCAGTCAGTCCGTCAGTGGAGCTAGGTGAAGCTAGGTGCTCATTCCAAAATGTAGATTCGAATGGAGAAGAACGAGCAAGAAACTCCATTCGTTAGGTACTCTGTTTAAGAAAGTATGTTTTACAATGTCTCTGATACATATTCCAATACTGAACGTATATGTGAGAACAATACAAAGACACGATTGTCGCATTATAGGTACTAATTACAAACCTTACTAAAATAAAAAAATCTTATAGTCTAACATGGTGCTCACATATGCATACTGACAATCCATAAAAATAGTGCTTCTATACAAGAAAAAGGAAACTCTTTGTTTCAATAAAGAAAGAAATGCTCGATGCCATAAGGAAACTTCATGGCATAAGCAATCGGCGTCGGCTATGAACTGTAACATAAGAAGAGTTGCAAATGCGTTGCTTGCCGTTGAGAGACAATGGATTTGCGAATTGAGGATTTGGGGAGGGTTGGTCACTCACACAGCGAAAAACAACGTAAGCTTCCTGTGATTCTGAGGTCTCTTCCTCATCAGGTTCAAAACAGCTCATTCATGCCAAAGCATTTTATCCCCGAAAGGGTAAACAGAGATGCACATTACGACACTTAATGTCACTGTACAATGTAACACTCACTTTTCACTATCTATGTTATGAGTCCCATGTAATAGGTGGTGAGCTTATTGCCATGTACTGGGCACAATTCCAGACTCCGTGCTACTACTTTTCTTTTTGAGGTGGGAAAATTATCCAATGATTTATTCCGCCCGGGTGAGGCGGGAGGGAGTGTCAGACTCTTACTGACTAAAAACCACCCCGTACCTACTACGAGCCGGAGCTTTGGCAACCCGTTAAGTCTTCCGCGGCTCAACTCCGTGCTACTACTAAGATTTATTTTTAAACCCGTTAATGCTTTGTCCGACCCGCGAATCGAACGGCCAACGACGGAGTCTAATAGGTACTAATTTAATTATATCTCTTAATTTCAGATTCCTAGCCTCTCTTGTAGCGGTATTTGGAGAGAACGATATATCAGGAGACTTTGAACCTAAAAAGCCAGTATCAAGAAACGTGAGGAAAGTCATCGTCCACCGGTCTTATGATGCTGCTACCTTCGAAAATGATCTTGCTTTATTGGAGTTGGAATCGCCTATCAAGTTTGACGCTCATATCGGTAAGTAAGAATGGTTCTTATTTCTTAAACTGAAGGCATATTTTAGACAGTATGTTAGGCAAAATGTTTTGTTACCACCCCTACTTATAAAAGCCGACTAGGGTACTACACATTTGACAGACTCGCAGTAGAAGCGTCATCTGATACACTGGAACCTTTTAACAACTCGTCAGCCAAGAGTGGTGGTTATGACCTTTCATATGAAGAGAATTCATATATATTTTTTTTTATGGAAAAAGCCGGTAAACGAGCAGACGGATCACCTGATGGTAAGCAATCGGCGTCGCCCATGCACACCTGGAACACCAGAGGCGTTACAAGTGCGTTACCGGCTTTTTGGGGATTAGGAATTTCAGGATCGTTGGGGATTCAGGGATTGGGGAGATTGGGGAAGGAGAGGGTAATTGGGCCTCCGGTAACCTCACTCATACGACGAAACACACATATTTTAGAAGAGTCCAGCATTAGACTGTTAGAGGCTACTTATGTTCGTGGTTTTTTTATTATTTTATTTGGGAACTTTCATGTTTTAATTATTAAGGTAATTATTAATTCCAGTGCCAATCTGTATGCCACCTGACGAGGCTGACTTCACGGGCCGTGTGGCAACCGTTACCGGCTGGGGACGGCTGAAGTATGGCGGTTCAGTGCCGGCTATTCTCCAAGAAGTTCAGGTATCATCATAACCAATATTTTATACTAAACGTTACATATTATGTTCAAGCACCCAAGCAAGGGATATGCAGATTAATTAATAATTTTATTTTCGGTATTCATATCATTATGAGACTCATAGGGAAACGAACATAGGGCATGATTCGGAGACCGCACTAATACAGACCTGTCGTGGTGGCCCGGAGGTTTAAGACGCCTGTATCTCATGCGGGTGCGGGTTCGAAATCTACCAACGGCACGTACCAATGTGCCCTTTTCCGAGTTACATGTGCTTTCTAAGAATATCTAGACACTACTAACAAACGGTGAAGAAAAATACCGTGAGGAAACCTGGACTTATAATTTCTAATTATAAGTTTGTAATCGCCAACCTGAATTGAGCTAGTGTAGTGATTAATGCTCAAATCTTCTCCGTGTGAGAAGAGGCTTTGTTCAGCAGTAGGCACTTATAGGCTGTTGATGATGATGATGATGACATTTTCCACAATCCAAAAATCCCTTGTGTCCACTCAGTCAACGTGGATGAATGATTCCATTTTGGCTTCGATACGCTTCATATTTGAGTTGCCTCATATATAATTTTGGTCGTACTTTTGGGACTTTAGGCTTAAGGCTGGTCCCTTAGAACTACACATTGCATTGTCTTCTTGTTATTTTTCTATAATTGATAGGTTGACGTTTTGCCACCATCTCGCCTGGTGGTAAGCGATGATGTGGCCGACGATGGAGCACGCCTACCTATGAGCAACCTGTTCACTCGGGACTTGAAGACACTCAAATTATATTTGTCGCTAAACACAAATTCCGACAAGGAATTCCATTCCTTAGCGGTTCGCACAAGGAAGCTTGACGCGAAACGCTTCGTGTGAATGGGTGGAATGTCCACCATATAAGGGTGGCGCCCTGCCGTTCGTCATCATCGTCTTACATTTATTATCATCCTTCCAGGTACCAGTAATAGAGAACAGTGCATGCCAGGACATGTTCCAGACAGCTGGTCATTCAAAGAAGATATTGAACTCCTTTATCTGCGCAGGATACGCTAACGGACAGAAGGATTCATGTGAAGTAAGTTGGTTGTCTGATTTCACCATTAAAAATGAAAAGGAACCCAACTTCACTACTTACAAAAAAGACTTGACACACTAATAGAATATTCTCATATGCCGCGGGTGCATTCTCGGTTGATCCTATATTTAAACTTTTTTTTTCTTTTTTTTAAAACGTTGCCCCACACTAGGATTTTCTCCTATGTCGTGGGTGCGTTTACAAACATACAAGTTCACATACACATGACATCCAGACCCGAAACAACCATTTGTGGATCACACAAAGTGTTGTTCCGTGCGGGAATCGAACCCGCGACACGTTGCACGGCAGTCGGTTGCCCAGCCACCGCACCAACCGTTCAGTCGTAATTATCTAGAATAGAATAATCTAGAATTGTAATTAATGAAATATGGGTGTGCCGATGTATCTCTATTCACAACATAGACATTTGGGTTCTCTGTGCCTTTAGCCAAACGCCACTTTAGCGCTTGTCTACAGAGAGAGTAGAAAATTAAATGTATGGGGATGACACTGACAAGTGTCAAAATTTTCGTCAATTCTATATAATTTAGTTTTCTATTCTACACGTAGACAAGCGCTAAAGTGGCATTTGGCTACAGCTGCTGGTTACGTATACATACATAACTTCACGCCTGTCTCCCATGGGGATAGGCAGTGAGTATGGAACAGTCATCAATCTTTTCATGCATCCTCGTCGGTTAAGGGAACTTTTAATTTGGCCCTTCTTTGATATACATAAACAAACATAACATAACATCACGCCTTTTATCCCCGAAGGGGTAGGCAGAGATGCACATTACGGCACTTAATGCCGCTGTACAATGTAACACCCACTTTTCACTATTTATGTTATGAGTCCCGTGTAATAGTGGGTGAACCTATTGCCATATACCGGGCACATTTCCAGACTCCGTGCTACTACTAAGGTTTTTACAAACCCAGTAATACTTTGCACGACCCGGGAATCGAACCGGAGACCCAATGCCCGGCAGTCGCACTTGCGACCACTTGGCCAATGAAGCATTCAGCTTTCTTTAATATATCGCCATTTAATACATGGGCTGACATTTTATACCACATAAAGAAAAACCAGTCAATGGCATCACTATCCAGTCTCATGGATAGTCTCCTCCTTGTCTAGAGACTACAGTACCATTATATCGTTCTATTGCGATGTGAAACACTAATAACGATAACTACTATTTCCTATGTCCAGGGTGACAGCGGTGGTCCCTTAGTTCTTCAGCGAGATGATGGAAAATGGCAACTGGTTGGAACGGTCTCCCATGGAATCAAATGTGCAGCGCCATTCCTACCCGGTGTTTACATGAGGACCACATACTATAAACCATGGTTAAAGAGTATTACAGGAGTCCATTGAATAACTTAGTTTGAATAAATTAATTTGAATAAACGGAATTGAATAATGAATGTGAATTTCTTGGAATGAATAATTTATTTGAGGATGAATAAATGTTTTGAGTGTATGTGAGTGAATTTATTAGTTGAATTGGTTTACGTAATGCATGATTAGATAAATTTGAGTGTATGTGAATGAATGTTTTGTTATTTATTGTTCTTGCAAGTGTGTTTAATTTTCATTTTCTTTTTGTTTTATTCATGAAAAGAAATTTATGAATTAATTCACGCCTTCTTAATTTTTGGGCCTAAAAATGAATTAGAAAATTTCTATTGAAATCAGTATTTCTCTTTACTAAAATTGTAAGTGAATTTTTAATTATAATTTAGAATTTGTATAAAATGTTACAGCTCTCTAAATAAAATTGTATAATAATTGTAATTCTGTATTAATGTTAAATAATTTAAAGTTTGTTTAAATGTAATAAATTGAGCTTCAATTTATAGTCACTCAAAATATCTACATTGTTCAATTTTATAACTAACATAAACAATAAAGAAAAATATTATATTAAAAAAAAAAATACAAATAAAATTCAGAAAGACATTATTTCCATAATTTTCCAAATAGAATTTTAAATAAAATTATTGTATATTGTCGTAGCATAATAATAAATAATTAGCTCCTATTGTAAATTATTAAAAAAATGCATTTATTTATCGTTATTAATAGATTTAAATTTTAGCATTTAAGACTGAATTGTAGAAATTATAAATTATTTGTTATAATTTATATTTTTGAATAATTATATGTATAATAATAATTTATGAGCTTTTTCTTGTATTTTGCTCAAGTAGTGCAGTATTTTTATTGATTACCATGATACGGGCAAAGTGCGCTTGTAAATTATATTTTTAAATCAAGTATTATTTATTTATTAAGCTTAAAATTTATTTACTGTATTATATATTTAGGTTATAAAATGTATTATACAATTTAAATGTCATTATAAATTGGTTATCAGGTTTATAAAAGTATTGGTTTATAAACCATAGTATCAAACTATGGATTATCGATTATTATTTTATTATGGGAATTAAATCAACAGCAATTTATTTATTTTATAATTAACCTACTGTGGTATAAGAGTTACCTATGTTTTGATAATTATATTGTTAACATTTTGCAATACTATTACTATTATTAATTTATGCACCTAAATATTTATTTTTATATATTTATGTAATTGTACTATTATATTGTATTATTCTAAAGTACCTACTATTAGAAATGAAGTATTAAACTATTATTTTATTATTGTTATATTATATGCGAACTCTGCCCGTTATAACCATGAGAGAGAGTAAAAATATTAAATAAAATGCTCAAATAAATTTAGGAGAAATGTTAATATTGACAGTTATTGCATTTATTAAACATTTTAAGTACTATTTTATGTTGAAGTTTTATTTTGTACTTGGTTTTACTTGCAACTTTGTATGCAAAGAAAGATTTTTATGTCTTTTCTCATCATCATCATCAGCCTATCAGATTTTCTCACATCATATTAACAGGCTATAAATGCCCACTGCTGACCAAAGATCTCTTCTCACACAGGGAAGGTTTGAGCATTAATCACCACGCTTGCTCATAGCGGGTTGACGATTTCAAACTCATAATTAGAAATTATAAGCCCAGGTTACCTCACGATGTTTTCCTTCACCGTTTGTCAGTGGTGTCTCAACAATCTTAGAAAGTACATATAACTGGATTTGTCTCATTGTTACTTGTCGTTTGTAGGTTTTGAGCTCTTATGCATAAGAAGAGGGCGTCTTAAACCTCTGGGTCACCACTACATTTATTAGTTTTTTTTACTACCATAGAATTATAAAAAAATATTTCAAGAGCTCTGTTTTTTATAGAATCACTGATGAAACACAGAATCAAGGTCCAAAAACTGACTGTAATATTAAATATATAATTTCTCATATATTATAGTAATACAAGGAAAATGTCGTCATAAATCTTTTAACTGCCTCGTTGGCCGAGTGGTCGCGAGTCCGACTGCCGGGCAATGGGTCTCGGGTTTGATTTCCGTGTCAGGCAAAGTATTACTGGGTTTTTAAAAATCTCAGTAGTAGCACGGAGTCTGAAAATGTGCCCGGTATATGGCAATAGGCTCACCCCCATTACATGGGACTCATAGCATGAATTGTGAAAAGTGGGTGTTACATTGTACAGTGGCATTAAGTGCCGTAATGTGCACCTCTGCCTACCCTTTCAGGGATAAAAAGGCGTTATGTAAATAAAAAATGGAGTCAATGCTTCATAACATGTTTATTGAACATAAGCATTAAAGCTAAAAATACATTATATAAGTATTCATACATTTTGTTTCTAATTGCCTAAAGCCTAAGTATACGTATTTAATTATATTTATTATACTTATAATGTAATATAATTTTATTATAAGCTGATTGAAGAATATAATATAAGTATCAGCATTTCTTTTCATTTTTAAATCTTTTACAAAACAAAAATTATTATTAAAACAAAGAAATGTAATTTTAACCAATTTAAACATTTCTTAAATGGTCAGTTTTAACTAAATGAAAACCAAAAAATAATATAAAATCAGAGATCTTGTGTGTGATACATATCTATTATTAGGTACATACATACATATACCCAAAGAAATTACGAAAAAATTACATTTTTTAGAATTATTATCTAAATTATAATTTATAATATAAATTTTTTCTTTTGTTATAAGCCTCCATTATAATAATAATTATTATATATATAATCTTTGTATACATTTGCTACTGCATTTCAAACGTTTTAATATTTTTTTATTGATAGTGCACAGCAGTTTAATTTCAACTATTTCTAAATTATATTTTGACAAATGTGAAAATTGATACAATTACTTAACTCTACTTTTAAACTTTAAATAGATATTTTTATAATTCCAATAATAATTTTGAATAAACACATTAATACTAATAATTATTTATGCATAAGTCTTATAACATGAATTTAACAATGACATTTTTTTATAATTATATTCTACTTTAATTAAACGTGAAGGTATAATTTTTATACTTATTATAAGTAAGATATATCACGACAATTCAAATATATATAAGCGTTAATATTGCACTACTCATATTTGATTACAACTACTACATTTTTAAGGATTATTTTTTATAATTACGCTCTACATTTTTTATATAAGCGTAAAATATTAAACATTTTTTTATAATATAAGATTAACATATTGAATAGTATGATAATTATATTTATACAGAATAGTAATGATCACCTAGTTATAAGCAAATAATTGTGCAATAACTTAAAATTATAATATATTTATCCCACACCGTTGATTTATATTATGAATGTATAATTTACATGATTTTTAATTACTGTATGCAAAATAGTATTTTTATAGTAGTTCATCTGTTATGTTCAAAAATTAATCATTACATATATTATAATAATTCAACAATACATAGGTCGACAGTTTAATTATTATAGCATTGAAGTAATTAAATTTTACAGATTACTAATGTCTTGTAATATTAATTTATACAAGGTGTTGTTTTAAAGCCGCGTCATTTTCTAGGAGGTAACTCGGCTACTCTGAGTCAGAATCAATAAAAAAAATTGTAGGTAAATAAACCGTAAGTGCGAAGTACACGCCGCCGTCTTGTGACTAGCTTTATAACGCGGCTTAACACACACAAACTCAAACACGTAATTGATATTATTCCTAATTCCATAAAACTCCAATAAGAAACAATGCTGTCGCTTATTCTAAGTCAAAGTCAAAGTCAAAATCATTTATTTCAATTAGACCAGGATGGCACTTTTGAACGTTAAACAACAAAAATTTATAACTGAAGCTAGTTGCTCATTCCAAGGTGTAGATTCCTATGGAGAAGAACGAGCAAGAAACTCCATAGGTTACTCTTTTTCAATCAGGAATTCTGAAATACTGTCGAACTTAAACGATTTATTGTAGCCGTATTTTTAACTATTGGTCCGAAATTTTCTCCTACATTGAACCTTTATGACTTCTGTGACATGCTCCCGAAAAATGACACGGTTTCAAAACTACATCTTGTATACGTACAGAATGTTCTAACGTAACTGTTCGATTAGGCTAAGTTGGACGGTGCATCTGAGTGCCAAGCACGAATAACTATCGCATTCGTAACGTAATAGTATCGAGCGCGTTCGGCGCTCTGATTGGCCGGCTGAAGTGAACCAACCAATCAGAACGCTTAACTCGCTCGATACTGTTACGATACGATTGCGATAGTTATTGGTGCTTAGCCCTCAGTTATCGGCCCCTAACGTGGTTTGAAACTAGTCAAGTAGCCTTGTCGAATAGTTACGACGAGAAAGCCGCAAATACATATATTTTTTTAAATATTTTATGATATAATTTGTTCATTATAACATTTTTTTTTTTTTTGTAATAATACCACATAAATTTTGGCGTAGTAACGATCGAACCACAGCGAAATTACTTCGAAATTTTCCCTTTGTAATGCAAACACTTTTTGCAAATCGCGTCAGCTTTGTCTTTAATCGTTTGAGTAGACATGGCCCTCTCAGATTCAGGCTTAGGATCCTCTCCCTCGAAGGGACCCTCACTAAACTGTTGGATCAACCTCTTAATGTAACTCCCGGGACCTCTAATAGTCAACTTTGTGTTACAATCATCACCTTTCTCAACAGTATTCTTATACTCACTCAACATTTGTAGGCCATCTTGAAAATTTTCAAACGCTTGCGTTATTTTATCGCCAATATTCAATTTCTCTTCAATTTCGCTGTAGTTCGATTTGGCAGCCGACAATTCTTCAGCTACATCCTTAGAACCAGTTGGAGTGATAATTATTTCATTATTTTTAACGTCAATTGTGATTTTAGCGTCATCTAGCGACAAGCCAGCGAGTGAGACGTCCACGGATTTCGACCTGTATTGCCTAGATGGCGCTAGTGGTACTTGGAGTTGGTTTGTCTCGGAGTGTTCTTGCTTGATTATGCCGATAGATGTCAGTGGTGATGATGTGATTGAAGACTTGTCACCGGGACTGGATCCTGGATTTTAATTGACTTTTAAAAGAAAGAGAATTTTAATTTTAATTATTTTATAGTTATTAGATAGAAATTTGTATTAAAGGGAAATTTTTAGTCTAAACCTATTCTAAGTTAGGGACCCACCACCTCAATAGTTCTCAAAAATTACCTCTTTATAGCATTGCTGATTTTATGTCTGTCATTGCCCCTAAAACAAATTCATTTGTCATTACTTTGTATACTTAATATTTAGTATAAGCTGGATATTAGTTTTCTCTATTGATGGTAGTGTTTCGATCAGTGCCAGAACTCACACCACACAATGTCTGTGGCGGCACATCTCTAGGGATTTTTTTTAAGGGGGGAAAATCATCGAATGACTGCTCCCGCCTGGGTGAGGCGGAAGGGAGTGTCAGACTCTTACTGACTAAAAACCACCCCGTTCCTTCTCCTGCACGTCGAGCCGGAGCCCCGGTTACCCGTTAGGTTCTCCGTGACACATCTCTAGGGATAGGAACCGTATAACAGGAGACACTCCGGGCGCCGGAGATGGCGTGACGGTCTCCGGCCACCATAAAAAAGTGGTAGGAACCGTAGGAGTCAAACCTGCGTCACGCACGTTACATGTGTTTTGTAACACTAGTAATCTTATTGCACCGCATTCAATAGTACAGTCAAACGATATTTTTAAATCTCATTGTAATCTACCCACCGTTAGAAGTATCCTCTCTCTCGTCTTCACAACACTGTGGCAGAGACTGTTCCACCATCATACCCTGCACCATGTCCATGCAGGAGTCCAGAGAGAACTTCTTCCCACACATCTTGATCCCTCGGATACGGCGACGCATTTCTGTTAGTGTGTTAGTGAGTGATGAACATGAAAGTGTCAGTAATTGTAAGGTCTATCTGGATGGAGTGGATTTTAGTAGACTTTTAATGTCTGATGAAACTAAAACAAGAGTTTTTTGACTCCACGTGTATTTAGAGAGATCCTTCACCAGAGCAATATGAAAATTCTTTATATTTTATAGAAAATAAAGGCCTGTTATACCACATAGTTACTTTAGCATATCTTAGAGTACTATTTTGTTCGTAAAAGTAAAACTAACCCCACCAAAGTTGATGCAAACCCATCACACACCCAACCATCGCCACTCCATTTAACCCATAGTAAACAAACAAAAAGCATCAAACAATGAATGTCCCATTCCCAACCAAGAGAAAGCTAGACTCCCATAACAAAGCAAACTAATATGAACTTACCAGGACTATCCTTAGGTTCCATTTTTAGTTGAGCGAAAGTCTGAGCACAGGAAGTCAGGACCTGTTCATAGTCACAGATAGCAGCGTGAGTGCCATTAACAATCTTAGGGCTCATGGGGCTGTTTGCCAGGAGAAGACTGGTACCGAATGTGGCGTTCAGCTCACGTGTCTCTGTAAAAAATACACTAGGCTTATTTTTAGTTTTCTGTGATTTATGAATAATGTTTTTTGTCAATTGAAAACCGTCCGTGATTCCTTCTCGCCCAAATGAGAGTATTAAAATGGAAATCGGAACGAACCGCAGCCAACGAAGGTAAAAACTAAACCATTATTAAATCAGAAGCCAAAACTACACAAATAAAACACAAAGCGTCATTTCAAAAGCCCAACATATAATTCCCACACACTATATATGGGTAAACCCGTGTGAACCAAAATCAATCATACAATCAAAAAGTTTTTAGAAACCAACCAAAACTATCCTCACCAGATCAGACACTGTTAACAAAAGTCCGTATTACCATACATATAAAGTTAAGGTTACTGACCCTTCAACGAGATCCTAGGTTTCTTAGGCACCACTATGTTACCGTTCTCTGAGCCAAAGACATCCATTAAGATCTCCTTAGCCACAGTCTTAATCTCGTTCCAGTCATCTGAAATTATAAAAAAATACGTGGTTAGTATATTGTTGTATTTGCGCAGATTTGGGTAAAGCCTTTGATAAACTATGACACAATTGTATTCAAGAATTATAATTGGAAATTTTGTAATAGGATTTTTTCAAAATCGGATCCGTTTATTGGATTTAATAAGTAAAAATAGTTATTTGCAACCCTCATAATACAACAGTTATGCTGCATAATTTATCTTCAAAGCCTTTGTAGGGATGAGTGAAACAATTCTTTTAAACAATTGTTTTTCAAAATTAACAATTGTTTTTCAAAATCAATCCCTTTCTTTTTAAGTAAAAATATTCTCAAATTACAATTAGCTTAATAGAAAAGGCAAATTAGGAATTTCTTAAATCCCCTGTTTCTTAAATCCCCTCCCCTGAAAATTAATTTAACTCTTACCCAAGATATCCTGGTTGGTAGTCCTGGAAGAGGTGACGGTGAACCGGATGACGTAGATGCCTTTGAAGCAGGCAGGGACAGCGTGCATGTAGCCACGAGCATTCAGGCGTTTCAGGAGCCTCTCAGTTAAGGCGTTGTCGCCCTTCAGGCGGAAGGCTACCATTCCTGTAAAATATAAAGGTTATGTAAACTCTGCAAGACAATTGTTTATCAGATCTGATCTGATCTGGTAAGACTGCCTCGTTGGCCGAGTGGTCGCAAGTGCGACTGCCGGGAAAGGGGTCTTGGGTTCGATTCCCGGGTCGGGCAAAGTATAACTGGGTTTTAAAAAAATCTCAGTAGTAGCACGGAGTCTGGAATTGTGCCCGGTATATGGCAATAGGCTCACCCCCTATTACATGGGACTCATAACATAAATAGTGAAAAGTGGGTGTAACTTCTGTGTGCACCTCTGTCTACCCCTTCGGGGATAAAAGGCGTGATGATATGTTATGTTATGTTATGTTATGCTATTCAGGTAAGATTTACAGTTAGGTATAGTATAGGCCACCTCGCCCTCTTATGGGCTGAGGGCTTGCCAAAATCTCTACGCTTCGCTTGTGGGTCGGAGATCGCACTACAGATTTACCAGATAGCGGTGATGTACAGGCTTTCTTATTTATTTAAAAAAAATTACAAACCTAGGTTCCTTGGCTGAGGTATTTCGAAGCGCTGATCAGCCAGCACCAGAGCCTCAAATTTCTGCGCCAATCGGACTCCCTGAAGAAATGAAGTCAAAATGAATTAATTTTATCCTTTAATTTCTTTATGATTAGACGTAGTTGCAGGTATAGTACTAAATTAATATTAAAAGTCGAGTGTAAGAGTGTATGGATCGGCATACAGAAAAGGTAACGAAAAGTAAACCAATTTAAATATGCAAATATGTTTGTCTGACCACGATAAACTATAGTACCTTTACTAAAGAATGATGAAGCATATTTTGTTTTGAACAGACACAGTTTGTTTACAGACCTTTTATGGAAAGAAAATTGTTATTTCCCAATAATGAAATCGGACCCAGAAGTAAAATCCACGGGTCCTTGCTCAGTAGACGAACTATTCCGCTTCGTTGGTCGAGTATTCCAACCGCTTCTTTCACTTTTCATTTTCCACTTACGACCATCCGAAGATAGTGTAGACTTTATTATTTTAAAAGTACCGTTTTAAGATAAAAATAGGGGTGCCAACTGTAAACTAGTGTTGGGTACTCACTGTGCCCAGCTTAAACTGAGTTGGCGAGCCCTTTTGTCGTGGACATGCTGCCACCCTGTTCTTTAATTTAGCTTTTTCATAATATTTTTTTTTGCCTTCATTGTTTTTTTACTGCTGTTTTTTTCATGCTTTTTTATGTTCTTATTGTTTTTTTTTTATTTTTGTTTTTCAATGTTATTTTGTTATTATGTTGTTGTTGTTATTTTGTGTGTTTGTGTTCATATTCTTTCTTTGTATCTATAAAACTTACCTCACGAATATGCTTCTGTATGCCAGAAACACCATAGTTACGGAGCACAAACCACAACTTCAAAGCGCGGAAACGACGACTCAGAGGTATCTGCCAATGCTATAAAACAAAAGAAAAATATAAAAATCACTTTCTTCGTAAAAAATATATTGAACGCTTGCGGTGTGTTTCGTCGCGTGAGTGAGGTTACCGGCAGCCCAATTACCCTCCCCTTCCCCAATCTCCCCAATCCCTGAAACCCCGACGATCCTCAAACTCTTAATCCACGAAAAGCCGGTAATGCACTTGTAACGCCTCTGGTGTTCCAGGTGTCTATGGACGACGCTGATTGCTTACCACCAGGTGATCCGTCTGCTCGTTTACCGGCTTATGACATATAAAAAAAGCTTAATTTAAATTATTATGTTGTTCAGCTTACTCACGTAATTATAGCGGGATGCTGCTCATTAACATAGACCTTTTTTATGGGGGGAAAATCATCCAATGACTTCTCCCGCCTTGGGTTGGCGAGAGGGAGTGTCAGACTCTTACTGACTAAAAACCACCCCGTTCCTACTCCTGCTCTTCGAGCCGGAGCCCCGGCAACCCGTTAGGCCTTCCGCGGCTCCGTATGAATATGAACATAGGCCTAGTATGACTTCAAAGTCGTAAATAGTATCAAGTATGCTAGTCGTGTTCTTCGTCAAATAATAACGTGGGTAAGCCGAATTAATGTACAAATTAATTTAATGTGTATCAATATAAATAAGCTCAACTTTATCATCATCCCCAGTTCCTGTAATCACTTCAGCTTTTATATCTTAAAATGTTTCGTAAAGTTGCACATATTAAATACATATAACATCCTATTTTTACCATCTATCCTATAAAAAATTGATCAGGAACTAATACAGATAATCCTAAGACGTGAGCAGAGGAAAATAATAATTTCCACTCCCTCTATATTAGGCAAATCAAGACTAAAGATGAAATAGTCGAAAATAATCGCATATATCCCTAAAAAATTCCCATCACCATAAAAACCCATCACCAAAATCACCATCACCGGTCTAAATGACCAATAAATCTCTTACTAGCATCTCCTTCTTGTTAGGATCTTCCAGTTGGATCTGATCGCCACAACCTTGGGATATTTTATTATAACCATGAAGAGTTCCATCGTCATCATCACCACTGTAATCACCATTTTCATAATCTCCATTTTCGTTATCACCATTTTGGTAATCACCGTTTTGGTAATTACCGATTATGCCATTTTGGGGTTTTGGTGTTTCTAGTTCTATAACTGTATGGTTTTTGTGTCCATTGATGGTGATAGTGGGGTTTTCAATACCTTTGATATTGTTGTTTATTTTTCTTAACGGTTTCTTCTTGATGTATGTCTGTTTGTCTCCGACCTAGTTTTGAATTTTTGGTTAAAATCAAGGTATAGTTTTTGTTTTTAATTTACAACCAAATTATTTATTTAGTCGAGAGGTTACCTACTCATCTGGATTTCCGAACAAGTTCAACGAATTATAGTTAATTAAAAGATTGTATTTTACAGTAAAACTTTATGTAATGATCTCTTTTTTAAGGATAACAACAATAATATCTCTTGTTGTTTAAGTATAACAATTTAACTAACATTTTTGCTCAAAAATAATATATAAAAACATACTACATACCATGTAATCAATCGCTTTTCCTGTAACAAAAGGAAATAGGTAAAAACAATTAGATTTGCATAATATCATCACATTATGTCAAATTAAATCAAATCAATGATCTGCTATATAAAAATAAGTCGGGTTTTCCTTTCTGACGCTATAACTCATTCAGTATTTCTTCGGAGGTGAATAATTTGGGTGGATTACTACAACGGGTACGTTTAGTTTAGTGTACCCCTTTTTTTTGTCTGGGTGAGGTGGGAGGGAGTGTCAGACTCTTACTGACTATAAACCACCCCGTTCCTACTCCTACATTTCGAGCCGGAGCCCCGGCAACCCGTTAAGTCTTCCGCGGCTCCGTATCGGCATCAGCCTTGTTAGGCCCCATCTATGGTGGTCTGATGGCTCCTTGAGGCGCGCGCGGAACGCAACGCGCCGTACGCTCGGGCCTGGTTCTGGTCGGGCGGGGAGCCACCCATGTTCGCCGTCCGCAGGCCCGTGCTTACGGTGGCCGGAGATCGTCTCGCGATCCCCGACATATAATGTACCCCTGCATTCTGTTCATACACCTACGTACCTCTGTTTTGTTATGATATATATTTTTTTCTGGGCATTGTCTGTGTTATGTACATGAATAAATAAAAATAAAAAAAAATATTCGCCAAAAAGGTTACCTGAATTTTCATGCCTCAAATAAATTGGATTCACGTTGAAGGTCCTGTGAAGTGCAGTACTGTCTTTCACCCTAAAACATATATAAGTAAATTCGATGAATTGTTTACAGATAGGGATATTCATAGGAACACAATCGACGAAGTATCTTTATGTTCCTTTTTTAATTTGCCTCCACACTCCACACTAGGATTTTCTCCTGCGTCGTGGATGCGTTTACAAACATATGACACACAATAAGACACCCAGATCCGGAACAACAATCTGTGGATCACACAAAGAGTTTTTCCGTGCGGGAATCGAACACGCAGCACGTTCCACGGCAGCCAGTTGCCCAGCCAGCGTGTCAACCGTGCAGTCAGATAGTTGGAGCAGATCTTAACACACATATACACAGTAGTATGAAGTCTTTTTGATCGGCTATTGTTTTTTAAAAATTGCTACTAAATTATCACTACATAGTAAAACAAAGTCGCTGCTGTCTGTCTGTCCATATGTATGCTTAGATCTTTAAAACTACGCAACGGATTTTAATGCAGTTTTTTTAATGGATAGGGTGTTTCTTAACCCCTCGAGCGTCCTTATGAGCACCCGGTGGATCATAAGAAAAAATGCTCCATGCTGCTTTCTCTTTTATAAAATCTATTATTAATGTTTTGTTTTTATTTTGTCTGTATTTGTTTTATTTCTATTGTAATGATCCTTGTTTTCGTGTGCCAATGGCCAAATAAAGGCATTTTTTTTTCTTTCTTTCTTACTTTCTCCTAATGTCACGTGTGCACCCGTTGGATCATAAGGAACGCAGACGCTCGACGGGTTAAGGAAGGTTTATATGTATAATAAATGCATATTGCACCCGTGCGAAGCCAGGGTCGGTTGCTAGTATCAATATAAATAAAATTAGGAGCAAATCTCTAAAGATATCAGATTTCCAGCGATGCTTACCACATGGCAGTGCAATCAAAGTTGACCATCAGCCACTTTGAGGGGTTAAAGGCGAAGGAATCCGCCAGCTCCACGCCGTCTAACCAGTGCCTGCAATAAACAATGGGGATGATGACAGGGTATGAAAATTAAAAATATAATTAGTCCGTAAGTTAGGTAATGAAAAAATATTAGACACGTATTTTTTTATTTTGTCGTATAATAAAACAATACTTAGATAAAACGAATCAAAGTTTAGGAGTGGGGGCTGAAACGTCATTTCTTAGTATAAAATGTACTGAGAAGTGACGTCACGCGACATTTCAAATCAATATATCTTCGAAACTATTCGTTTCTGTGAAAAAATAAAAAATACGTGTCTAATGTTTTTAAATAATCTATCAGACGGACATTAAAATTAAAATTAGTCGTCTACCCTATTATATTATACTAGCTACTTCAGCGCGGTTTTACTCGCTCTGCTCGGCGCCTATTAATAGTAAACGCGTACTCGTTACGATTACTAAGCGTAAAATAAACTTGTACTAAGGATTCTGGAAACAAATACCCACCTATACTCGGGGCATGTGAAGGCACTGCCTGCGTATGCCGCATCCACGTGAAGCCATGCCCCATGCTTCTCACATACTTGTCCGATTTCACGGAGATTGTCGAACGCCACCGAGCCCGTAGTCCCGAGGGTTGCACATACCTAAGTCAAAGAAAAAGTAGCATAGCATTAGTAAACATTTTCATAATTATTATTATTATACTAGCTACCTCTGCGCGGTTTCACACGATCTGCTCAGCTCCTATTAGTCGTAGCGTGATGTTTTATAGCCCATAGGCTATTGTTTTATAGCGCATTTATCGAGGAGTGCCATAGCACTCTGAGGAGTGCTATGGCACTCCTCGATAAATGCGCTATCCGACACAAAAAGAATTATTCAAATCAATCTTGTAGTTACGGAGATTAGCGCGTTCAAACAAACAAACTATCATACATTTCAAATAATTATAAAAAGAAAAAAAAGAAAACAAAACAAAACAGAACAGTCCTTAAATAAAACAAACAATAAGAATAAGAAAACCTTACAAACTATGACAGGTTTTAATAACAATAAGCAAAATATACAATCCTTACTAATATTAGAAATCAGAAAGTGCGTTTGTTTGTTCCGCTTTCACGCCATAACTACTAAACCGATTGCTTTGAATTTTTACAGACGTAAAGTTAAAAGTCCGGATTAAATAATAGGGTACATTTTATCCCGGAAAAATGTGATATTCCCGAGGGAAAACAAAAGTATTGGTTTAGATGGCGCTGTGTGTATTGGTATGTCACATAGGCTTACTCTTTATCCTTTTATGACGCGAGCGAAGCCACGGGTAAAAGCAAGTATAAAATAAATAAGACATTTACAACACAACATAAAATAAAATACAGTTATGCATTCATACACTCGCACAACTTCACGCATTCTTTGCACACAGTCCTCCAGCTTGACGCAAATATATCAAAATTTATGAAAACTCCCTCAAATTCTGTTCGCCCCTTTTATTTCTAACAGGGATAATAATTCCCTACCTTCAAGCTTACTTATCATAAGTAGGTTCTATGATACAGTAACTAAGTAGCGTACAAAATGCACTTACGGAGCTAATCGCACGGAAACTTGAGTTTATTAAAATTGGATCGAAACTTGAGAGTATTAGAGATCATTATTAATTGACTGCGATGTAGTGTAGCTGGATATGACATATTCTAGCCGATGTTTTTGTACCTACAAAAAATTAAGTTACTTTAATTTTATATGTGATCTGTAAATGCTTCTTGGAAATTGATATAAACAGAATATTATTTTCACTCTAAAATTAAACCCAAAATTTTTTTATTATTCGGCGATTAAGTGTGGGTGAGCCATGCTTCGGCACGAATGCCTGCTCGACCGGAGTGATACCACGGTCCCACAGAAGACCAAATATTTTCGGTCTTCTGTGGGGTTCGGTCGGGTTCGGTCATTCACACGACGAGTGAGGTTGAAACGCAATCCCCCCTCACTCTTCCCCAATCCCTAAATTCCCAACAATCCTAAAATTCCTAAAGGAAACAGTCGCATCCAGCATCACAACATCTTTGTATTTCTAAGACGTATCTCGTATGATCATAATTACTTATTTTCTTAACTTAAATTGCCTCTGAAACATTGGTTGACTAAGTTTCAACTGTCAAACACCGCGCGGTCACCAGTGACCGCAACCTGTTGTTCTTTAATTGTGTCTATAATGACGGTACTCTAAGGTTTAAATTAACTATAATATGGAGGTCAAAATCCAAAGATAACTCTTTGTTATTTTAGAAATTTAAATTTTCCGTAAAGTTATTCTATTACCGAGATTTAGATCGCTTATTATAAATTGTATATTGTATTAAAATCCTACATCTGCCTATCACCTCGGGGATTAAAACCTTTTGCTATGTCTAATTCGCGGGCCTGTGGATGGCGAGCATGGGTGGCTCGCCGCCCAACCAGAACCAGACCCGAGCGTACGGCGCGTCGCGTTCCGCGCGCGCCTCAAAGAGTCATCAGACCATCAGGAATGGGGCCCAAAAGGGCTGATGCCGATACGGAACTGAGGAAGACTTAACGGGTTGCCGGGGCTCCGGCTCGAAGGGCAGGAGTAGGAGCGGGGTGGTATACCCCTTTTTTTGAGGGGGTAAAATCATCCAGTTACTGCTCCCGCCCGGGTGAGGCGAGAGGGAATGTCAGCTTCTTACTGACTAAAAACCACCCCGTTCCTACTCCTACACTTCGAGCCGGAGCTCCGGTAACCCGTTAAGTCTTCCGCGGCTCCGTAACGTAATCATACACCTACTGTTACGCTGTTCGGAGAACAGCTTGATACAAATACAAAGAACAGAAAACCTACTAAAATAATGCATAAAGAACAATCTCTTACAATTTAAACATTAAAAATTAATCAACAATCAAATAATAGTCAGGAGCTACCAAGATGCTTCTACTTACAACTTTGGTTTGGTCCAAGTTATAAGCGACTTTAAGCTATTGCTTCGTTTGCCGAGTGGTCGCAAGTGCGACTGCCAGTTAAGGGATCTCGGGTCCGATTCCCAGGTCGGGCAAAATATTACTGAGTTCAAAAAAATATAATTTCAGTCGTAGCATGGAGTCTGGAATAGTGGCCCGGTATATGGCAATATGCTCACCCCATGGGACTCATAATATAAATAGTGAAAAGTGGGTGTTACATTGTACAGTGGTATAATGTGCACCTCTGCCTACCTCTTCGGGGATAAAAGGGCGTGATTTTATGTTACGTGTACTTGTAAGTACTTATATTAACTCGATGTAGATAGTTAAAGTATACTAGAATATTCAGATAGCAAATACATTACATATCTTTAGACTCAGTGCCAAATATTAGAAAAAAATATTAAATAATTATACCAATTTGACGATTAGCTATTGAATTAGCTATTATCTATGCTCGTTCAAAGTATTGTTTGATTCTTTCTTCCGATTTTCTTTACAAATACCGTAAGACGCGTCCCTATAACACAGTGGTCAATTGAACTGGACGTTAACTGCCAACCTATGAGCATACGATGTGAGACAACGCTTGCGTTGTATTTCGTCGTGTGAGAGAGGTTACCGGCGGTCCATTTACCTCCTACCCCTCCCCAATCCCTAAATCCTTAATAATCCTCAAATTCCTAATCCCCAAAAAGGCCGATAACGCACTTGCACACCTCTGGTGTCCACCATCAGGTGATCCGTTTACTCGCTTACCGGCTTGTGCAATAAAAAAAATACAACTCTAACTACGTCCTATTGAAATGAAACAGTTATTTACAAATACTTATCAAATAAAGACTCAATATTATTTCTTTCTTTTTGTTGAATTCTTTTGTGTTCGTTTTCCTTTTAATGGTATAGTTTAATTCCATTATTATGTATTAAGTGAGCCTTTTATTTCATTGTTAGATGTTGTTTTTTGCTTTTGCTTGTATTATTACTTTAAAGTCAACTAGTTTAAGGGTTTCTTGATTTGTATCAATAGGACTGACATGTCTTCAGATAAAAGTCCTGTAAATAAATAAAGATAAAAATAATAATATTATTTCTCCTTCAAATCGCTACCGCTCCAATCCTACACCACAATTTAAACTGTAAGCTGCTTCCGCGCAATCTGTGAAACAACAAATTGGTCCCCATGCGACCAATAGGATAGGACTTTAGAAATGACACAAACTAATCTTTAAATAATGAATATTTTCATCAAGAAATGTATTTTCATTTTTCAGTATCCTTCAGGGAATTTTCTTAAGCTTTCATGTAAATTAGAGACATTGTTTTGTGGGAATATAAATATTAATTTTACTGTCCAGTGGTTTAAAGACTGACAGAAAATATATAGCTGCAAGTCATAGGCATTAAATATATATTTTTTTCTGCCCCACAGTTGGTTTTTCTCCTGTGTCGTGGGTGCGTTTATAAACATACATTTTCACATACACACGAAACCCAGTCATAGGTTATATGTATTAGTTCTAATATTAATATTGGCTGCACGGTTGGTACGGTGGCTGGGTAACCGGCTGTCATGCAACGTGTAGCGGGTTCGATTCCTGCACGGAGCAACTCTTTGTGTGATCCACAAATTGTTGTTCCGGGTCTGGGTGTCATGTGTTTTTGAACTTGTATGTTTGTAAAGGCACCCACGACACAGGAGATAATACTACTGTGGGGCAACGTTTTATAAAAACTACAACAGTTTGTGATAGTCTTTTGTTAAACTAGTAGAGCTTGCTGCCATTTATGGAGATTAATTTAAACAGACTCACCCTTATTACATGGGACTCATAACATTAATAGTGAAGTGGGTGTTACATTGTACAGTGGCATTAAGTGCCGTAATGTACACCTCTGCCTACCCCTTCGGGAAATAAAGGCGTGATGTTATGTTAAGTAATTTAAAAATAAATGTATTTTTTATTTGTGATAACATAAGTAATGTTGCAAGAGTAATATACCATGAGTAATTTGGTTACCTAGTTAATAAAAAATTCGAGTTTTCAAACTTCAAAGTTCATATTCGGCAGTTATATTATTGTGGTGACATGAAAGTTATTTTTTGGAAATATTTTGTATTTATGAGATAAGCCGGTAAACCATACGGATCACCTGATGGTAAGCAATCGGCGTCAGCCATGGACACCTGTAACACCAGAAGCGTTACAAGTGCGTTACCGGCCTTTTGGGAATTAGTAGTTTGAGGATTCGGAGATTGGGGAGACTGGGGAAGGGGGTGATTGGGCCTCCGGTAACACGACGAAACACAACACAACTTTATCAAGTTTTTTCTTTATATATACAAGCACATCTTACAAATACCTTGAAACCTTTTTCCTTCGATCTAAATCAAAGATATAATACAAGATAAAAGGACAAAATACCACCATTTTATAAATAGCTTTTTAAACATTTTGTTTTTGAGTAACCCTTTCAACATTATAATGTTATTTTATAACGTGATTTGAAATATTTTTTCCTCGTTTAAAATTATTTACATCTATACTAATATTACCTCTATAAAGAGGATAGATTTGTACCTATATTTGTATGTTTGTAATGAATATGCTCAAAAACGACTGGGCCGATTTAAAAAAATCTTTCACCAATAGAATGCTACTTTCTTCCGATTTGACATAGGCTATATTTCATGTTGAAAAAAATTAGGGATCCTTGGTAAAATTTGAACAATGTAACCGAAGGTGTAGAGAAATGCTGACGAAACTATTAGCGATAGAACAAAATAATATTGAAGAACATCATAATGTCTACAAAAAACTCAGCGGTAGCATATGTCCAACTATTGTAGTTATGTCACTACAACAATCCAAATTTCCAACAATAAATAATTGTCTACCCCGTGCGAAGCCGGGACGGGCTGCTAGTCTACTACATAACAATCGGTCGGGTTTTCCTTCCTGACGCTATAACTCCAGAACGCACGAACCGATTTCCACAGTTTTGCATTCGTTGGAAAAGTCTCGGGCTCCGTGAGGTTTATAGCAAAGACAATTCGGGAAAACATTTTTCTTTATCGTTTAATCACTAAAAGAAATGTTACATAAAACGAACCAGATGGCATCTGGTGGCGAAACGGAGTTCGCCGGGTTTGCTAGTTCGATATCTTTATAGTTTATATATATAGAGGTAATTCTTCTGTGAGGGTGTATGTCACTGAACTTCTCTCAAACGACTGGACCGATTTCGGGAATGGTTTAGATTCACAAATCAGCCCGGTAGATGGCGCTGCAGTCGATGTTTAGGTTATTTATCCTAAACAGCTGAACTAATTTGAATGAATTTTTGTTTATACATTCAAGTGGATATGCAGGACAACGTCTGTTGGGTCCGCTAGTAAATACATAAAATGGATTTATATTTATGCTTAAGATGGTTAAAATTGAGATCTAATCTTAAAAACAAAAGGTCGGTTTTCGTTTTTTTGTCTGTGTTCCGACGTTTCATAACAACAACATAACATAACATCACGCCTCGAAGGGGTAGGCAGAGGTGCACATTATACCACTGTACAATGTAACACCCACTTTTCACTATTTATGTTATGAATCCCATGTCATAGGGGGTGAGCCTATTGCCATATACCGGGCACAGTTCCAGACTCCGTGCTACAACTGAGAATTTTTAAAAAATCCAGTAATACTTTGCCCGACTCGGGAATCGAACCCGAGACCCCTTGCCCGGCAGTCGCAATTGCGATCACTCGGCCAACGAGGCAGTGTTTTTAAATGCACGGTTGGCGCGGTGGGTGGGTAACCGGCTGCCATGCACCGTGTCGCTGGTTCGAATCCCGCACGGAACAAGTCCTTGTGGTTTTTTTTATATATTTTTATATGTGTTATCCACAGATTGTGGTTCCGGGTCTGGGTATCAAGTGTATGTAAACTTGTATGTTCATAAACGCACCCACGGTACAGGCGAAAATCCTAGCGTGAAGCAACGTATTTAAAAAAAATCGTTGTTTTGTAAAAGTATTGAATTTATCCTTTTTAAAGTGTGGGAGAGCCATGCTTCGGCACGAATGGGCCAGCTCGACCGGAGTGATACCACGGCCTCACAGAAAACCGACGTGAAGCAACGCTTGCGTTGTGTTTCGTCGTGTGATTGAGGTTACCGGAGGCCCAATTACCCCCCTCTCTAGTCCCCGTCTCCCGAATCCTCGAATCCTCCACAATCCTCAAATACCTAATTTCCAAAAGGCCGGTAACATACTTGTAACACTTCGGTGTTTCGAGTGTCTATGGGCGGTGCCGATTGCTTATCATCAGGTGATCCGTCTGCTCGTTTACCGGATTATGCTATAAAAAAAAATAATGGACTTACCCAGAATGGAACAAGCCCCTTCTCCTTGTCGCTGGCGATGGCCTTCTCCAGCTGGTCTCCCCTCATGCTCTGGTGCTCATCCGACTCGATGTACCGCATACGGACTAGACCTGGGTGAAGGTATACGAGTAGATGGATGAATTGATTGTTTGTAAGTAACTTTGACTATGTGATACTATTCCGAGAATTTCCATTAAAAAAAATCTGTGTGAGATTTTATTCATTTAGACTGATTAGAACTTTTACGATCCATTTTCGACGAGTAAATATATATTTTCCTGATACTTTTAAACAAATTGTAAAAATTTAAGCATTTCACGCGAGATAGGAGCAAATATTCTAAATAATTTTTTTTTGTCTTTACTAATATAATTGTACATGGAATTTATGATCCCGTGAGTGTTGTGTACATCTGTCACTGGTATGCATATCAGAATTTTTTAATTTTGTATTCAACTGTATTATGGCTAGTGTATAATATGTATACTGTTGATGTGCCTTTAATAAATAAATAAATAAATAAATAAATAAATAAATAAATATTTTGACCATTTACAGTAAATTTTTATTATAAGAGTAAGTTTAGAAGCACTATCTCTCTTCTCTATAATGTCATCATCAAACTGTTTCCTTTTGTGTGGTCCATAATTATGGTATATTTAAGTGTAAGTAGGTATGTAATCATGTATATATGTATGTATGTGTGTATGTATGTGTATGAATGTATGTATTATTACTACTTTATTTATTTTCTTAGTACACCCGTAACCCGTCTAAATATTTACTTTCACTTTTCATTATATCCACCCAAAGGTTGTCTGGTAGAAATCACTATACCTAAGTGATAAGACCGCCTTTGTGTCCATTATTATTTTTATTTATGTTTTTCATTTCCTTTTCTGTATGTACTATATAACTAATGGTGTACAATAAAGTTATATTCTATTCTATTGTCATATATACACTTAACAATGAGATACAGAATTATTTCATTACCATAACAATGATGATTCAACCACCACTTACCAATGAGACCAGCTTTCTCCACAGAAGAATGAGCCTGGTCAGAGCAGTAGCAGATAAGATGGCCCAGCAGTTCAGCTGACTGGACTTCAGGGTTCAGCTTGGACAGCTCCATCAGAGCCCTCGTACGAGCTGCTAGGAGACTCACCAGGGTTGCTTCGCTTGCAGTAGTCTGGGTGGACAAATGTAATAATGATCCTGGGTTAAGACAGTAGATCATATAAGTTCCTAAAGAAGTAAAGAATAATATAACTGTGGCGACGCATGCCACATGTCAACGGATGACGTCACAAGAATCCTACATCGCACATGCAAAGTTTACAAGCGAATAAACACGGATAGAAAATCCCAACGAGCAACTGTTAGGCAAAAAGCCCGCCAGGCACGATCACCTCGGGGTGCGGTGCCAGAAGACCTCCCCGTGGTGCACCCTGGGTACAGGTGATAGTCTCCCTAACGGGGGCGATAGGGTTGGAGTGGCTATTGCCTGTAGCTAACTTCTGGATGGGGCGGGAGAACCCAGGATGGGTTCTGGAGGCGGCGGGCTTCGTGCTGGCACAAAGCCTGTGCTTCCGACGGGTAGTTTTTCCGCTCGCTTCTCTGAGCTGAACAGAGAACGGGTTGGATGAACAAGGGCGGTACCCGTTGTTCACTTACCCTGCCAACGGGTAGCATCGGGGCACGGGTTGTCCTCGATCGCAGCCGTCAGAGTCGTAATCCGGGAAGAGTTCGTAGTTTTATGACTCGGAACGGGACGAGGGTCTTGGCTTGGTCGCCCGGACCGCGAGGAAGATAACCTCTATAAAAAATTCCTCCAATACCAAGTTCTGGTGCGCGGCGAGGGTATGCATGGCTGAGGAGATGTGTCAGTCGCGAGCGCACCCCCAGCTAGGGTACCGGTGGACCCTCTAGTTGGGTACTAAATGTACACTTACCTAGGGACAGGGGGCACTCCCTAGGTGGACCTTTTATATCCCCCATTCTCGTGGGAATCTTATGGATACTTTAACAAATAAAAAACTAAAAGATGATGATAAGGAGGTGAAAAATTCGATTTCGAGCAAGAATAGTTCGTGTTCAGGCACGAAAGGAAGGACAACGCGGTCGCACTTTAAGCGACCGGCTACACCAATGGGAGGATTAGCAAGTGACAGTGGTGAGTCTGATTGCTCGCAAATGTCATCGGTCTCTCAAATGTCGACGGTGTCAGTAACGGCGCGGGCACGTAAGCGTACCCGAACAACGGCTAGGTCGGCGGAGGCTGCCATAGGAGTCGAGGCTGGATCCGATAAAGACGCTTTGGAAAGACTGGCCAAAGAGAACACAGACCTACGATCTCAAGTAGCTAGCCTCAAAGAAGCTGTTGCTGCACTACAAAACCAGCTTAACTTACTATCCCAACCGGGAGAAAAACCAAAGTCGTCGGTGCCTGGTCTAGCACCAGATGTGGAGGCTGAACTTCGACGCTCTATCGCCATAGAGATTGGCACCATGATGGACGCGAAGCTAGCCGCTCTAGAGGGCAGATTGCTGCCAGAGAAGTCGGTACGCCCAGCTCTCGCCTCAGATGTCAGGAGACTTGTTGCCTCTGAGCCAGTCCAGACGGAGGCGACAGCCGGAAAGAAGAAAAAGAAGAATAAGAAGAAGAAAACTATAGCAATCACACCAACTGTGACTGCAGCATCACCTGTAAGAGAGTCAACTTCGACTGCAAAAGATGGACAACCGGGAGCAACAAATTCCCAGGATACAACCACGTGGTCATTAGTGGTGGGACGCAAGGCCAAGAAGGCAAATACCCAACAACCAATTGCTGCATCCGCCTCTGCTGCACCGGCTAAGTTATCTAAAAAACTGTCAGTGAAACTGCCAAAAGTTCCCGCTTCGGCAGCGATCACTGTACGTGTAAGGGAGGGTGCAACCATAGGTCTTGGGGAAATACTTGCTGAGGCAAGGCGACGAATCAGTCTCTCAGAGTTCGGTATTACCAGTGACTCATGCCGTGAGAAACGTGCTGCTGATGGTGGAATTGTTTTCATGATCTCAGGTGAAGATTCTTCTTTCAAGGCTGATCGTCTCGCAAGTCGTATGCGGGACGTCCTTAGGGAATTTGAGGTGCAAATTGGACGTCCGACTAAAATGGCTGAGGCGAGGGTTATGGACTTGAACGACGCTGTAACCCCAGGGGAGGTGGCAGCGGCCATTGCTATGGCGGGGGGATGTTCCACGGAGGAAATTAAAATGGGTGAAATTCGACGTCCCCCTTCTTCCTTGGGGCATGTATGGGTTCGTGGCCCTTTGGTGGCTATGAAAAAACTGGCGTCTGACAAGCGCATGCCATTAGGATGGACGTCAGTTAGAGTCGAAGTTCTGGAACCACGTCGCATGATGTGCTACCGCTGTTTTGAGCCAGGACACGTCAGGCGTATGTGCACCAATTCTGTGGACCGGAGCTCCCAGTGCTATGCCTGCGGTGGTGACCACAAAGCTCGTGAGTGTACCTCGCAAAGCTTAAAGTGTCCGGTATGCTCAGACCAGGGCCGCCCTGCAAACCACCGTCTTGGAGGAAAACAATGTAATCCTCAAAAGAAACGGTCGCAAAAGAAATTGCAAGAGACGTCAGCTGCACCTCAAAGTGTAAGCACTCCAGAGGAAATGGACACGTCACATTCCCAGCCCTAAAAGTCCTGCAATGCAACTTGAACCACTGCCGCGGTGCGCAAAATTTATTCATGCAAACCGTTGCGGAGTGGTCGGTTGCATTGGCGGTAGTAGCAGAGCCCTATGGTCTGCAAGATCATCCTCGCTGGTTCCGTGATATAGACTCGGTTGCAATTTACTGGGCTGGAGGGGGTGGTGAGCCTCATTGTACCTTGTTAGACAGGGGCCAGGGAATTGTGGCTGTCGAGTGGGGACCAATAGCCGTGGTGGGATGCTACGTGTCTCCAAATATCTCTCTCATTGATTTCGAGAGATACTTGGATGGTGTAGCTAATTGCATTCGGCACAAATGCTCACCCCGTCCAGTATTAATCCTGGGTGATTTTAATGCTCACTCCAGAGCATGGGGTAACACTCGGGATAGGCCTAGGGGACATGCAGTTCAGGACTGGGCGGCTTCACTTGGCCTTTGTCTCATGAACCGAGGATCTATTGCCACCTGTGTTCGGTGGCAAGGAGAGTCAATTGTAGACCTAACATGGGCGTCTCCTTCTCTAGCCTCCAGAATTATGAACTGGAGGGTAGCTGAGGAGATGGTTACGCTTTCCGACCACCGTCACATTGTGTTCGAAGTGGCATCCAGTCCATCCGATAGGCGAAGTCGTCCTAGTTCTAACCCACCGGCACGCCGTTGGGCCCTCAAAAAGCTCGATCGCGAATTACTCATTGCAGCTGCTAACGTTGTTGCCTGGCCCGAAGATGTTCCCAACGGATCTCGCCCGATCCAGAAGAAGAGGCTGCTTGGTTTCGGGACAAAATGACTTCAATCTGCGACGCTTCTATGCCCCGAGTCAAATGTAGCCAGCGTCCTGGAGCGGCTTACTGGTGGTCAGCAGACATTGCACAGTTGCGTGCTGTCTGTCTGAGGCACCGACGTCAGTTCCAGCGCACCCGACGCAGAAGACAACCGAGCGCCACGGAAGAGCAAATCACTAGAGCCTACAGAGCATACAGGGAGGCAACTATGGCTCTCCAACGTGCCATTGCAGATGCCAAGTCTCGGTCCTGGAGGGAACTCCTTGAGGGGCTGAATAGAGATCCTTGGGGAAAACCGTACCGTCTGGTAATGGGTAAACTGCGCCCGTGGGTTCCCCCCCTTACGGAGACCATTGATCCGGATCTACTGGAAAGGGTGATAAATACACTCTTTCCAGTAGTTATAGACAGTCCCTCACTACCCCAACCATTATCAGATTGGTCCCCTGACTTAGGGGTAACAGAAGGAGAGTTAGACCGAGCTGTGCGTAGATTGAGTGCGCGAAACACCGCGCCTGGCCCGGATGGTGTCCCTGGCCGTGCGTTGGTGTTGGCTCTAGGTGCTCTAGGGGACCGTCTGAGGCGGTTGTTCAATAGCTGTCTTCAGTCAGGCGTGTTCCCCAGCCGTTGGAAGGAAGCCGGATTAGTCCTCTTAAAGAAGCAAGGCAGGCCCGCAGAATCACCCTCTGCATATCGTCCCATTTGCCTGCTCGACGAGGTTTCCAAGCTCTTTGAAAGAGTGATTGCTGAAAGGCTCGTCGGGCACCTGTCGAGAGTTGGTCCCGACCTGTCTGAGAACCAATATGGCTTCCGGCAGCAGCGTTCCACAATAGATGCGATACTGCGCGTCCGCTCGCTGTCGGATCAGGCAGTGTCCCGGGGTGGGGTTGCGTTGGCAATAAGCCTAGATATCGTAAACGCCTTTAACTCCCTACCCTGGAAGGCAATCAGGGAGGCTCTTGTTCATCACAGGATTCCTTCCTATTTGCAGAATATTGTCGGGGCTTATCTGCACGACCGGCACATTCGCTATGTGGGCCGGGACGGTAGCGTCCAGCGGAGGGAGATTACATGCGGAGTTCCACAGGGATCTGTCCTGGGTCCTTTATTGTGGAACCTCGCTTATGATGCGGTCCTGCGTGTCGAACTTCCCGCTGGTGTCCATGTCATTTGCTACGCAGATGACACGTTGGTAATGGCCAGTGGAAGTACCTTTGAGGAGACTATCCGGCTTTCAGAGCTCGGAGCGGCAAAAGTCGTGGCTTCAATCCGCGAACTGGGTTTGGAGATAGCGCCTCATAAAACTGAGGCTCTATGGTTTCATAAGCTGCCGAGGACCAAGGAGCCACCCAGTTCGTCAGTCCACGTTGGAGATGCGCAGGTCCAGGTTGGGCGATACATAAAGTATTTAGGCCTGACCTTGGATGGTCGGTGGGGCTTCGAAGAACATTTCGAACGCCTGGTCCCTCGAGTTGAGAAGGCTGTGGGTGCTCTGCACAGACTGCTGCCTAATATTGGGGGACCTCGAGAAGAAGTTCGCCGCCTCTATGCGGGTGTCGTGCGATCGATGGTCCTTTATGGGGCGCCTGTTTGGTCAGCTCGACTGTCAGGCGCCCGACGCTGTAGAACGAAAATTTATCGTTTGCAGCGGAAAATGGCCATCCGCATCGCACGAGGATACCGTACGGTGTCTTTTGAGGCGGCAACTCTCCTGGCTCGCTTTCCGCCATTGGATATCCTGGCGGATATGGATGCCAAAGTTTACGAACAAATTCGTGCTGTCCGCCAAAATGGCGGTAGAGTGCCAGGAGTGGCGTTCGTTAGGCTGAGGCGGCAGGAAAGGCGACACGCGCTGAACGGTGGCGTGAGCGGCTACAAAAGCCGGAGATCTCATGTAAGCGCGTTGTCGAAGCCATTCTGCCGCACTTCGAAGTCTGGCTGAAGAGAGAGGAGCGTGTCTCCTTCAGGCTTACTCAGGTGCTGACCGGTCACGGTTGCTTTGGTGAGTACCTAAACAGGATTGGGCGAGAGGCCACGACAAATTGCCACCACTGCGGGGGTGACCTGGATTCCGCACAGCACACGCTCGAGGAGTGCTCAGCATGGGCCTCTGAGCGGCGGGTCCTGGTTGCCAAGATCGGGCGAGACCTGTCTCTGCCAGCCGTAGTTAAGGCTATGCTGGCAGATACAGAAAATTGGAGGGAAGTAGTCTCGTTTTGTGAGACTGTAATGTCCCAAAAGGAAGCTGGTGAGCGGGGTCGCGAGAGGGCCGATCCTGCTCGTAGAAGGCGTCGAGGAGGTAACCACCTTGATGCCTAACACGCCGAAATCCCGCCTGCATAAACTTCAGGCGGACCTTTGGGGCCACGGGTGCGTAGAGTGGGGACTCTAGGTGCCCACCTTGTGGTCTCAGGGAAGACGGTGGCACAGTGGTCACGTGCTGCCGTAGACAGCAAGGCTTAAAGGAGACACCCGTCTCCCTAGGGATGTGTCGTAACAGGCGTTGCACCGTGGAGGCGCCGGAGCAGGTCTCTTATAGAGGACCCGGTGCCTCCATTCAGGTGTTGAGGGTGGCCACCGGGGTGGTTTTAGTGAGGTAAAAATCCCACACTCCCTAGTCTTTTATCCCCAAAAAGGCTGGGCGCCTTTTGAAGGTTTCCCCCCGTCATCAAAAAAAAAAAAAAAAAAAAGGCACGATCACCTCGCCTGGTCGGAGGATCCTCCTTTTCCGATCTTAGGGAACTATACTCTCTGTTCGGCGGGTTTTTATTTAAATGAAAGTAAGTAAAGATAAACCTGAATTATTTTATTTACTGACTGCCTCATTGGCCGAGTGGTCGCAAGTGCGACGGGGCAAGGGCTCGTGGGTTCGATCCCCAGGTCGGGCAAAGCATTACTGGGTTTGTAAAAACCTCAGTAGGAGCACGGAGTCTGGACATGTGCCCGGTATATGGCAATAGGCTCACCCCCTATTACATGGGACTCCGTAACATAAATAGTGAAAAGTGGGTGTTACATTGTACAGTGGCATTAAGTGCCGTAAAGTGCACCTCTGCCTACTCCTTCAGGGATAAAAGGCGTGATGTTCTGTTATTTCATTTATTGACAGTTTGAAAAAAAAAAATATGTCTATTGGTGAAGCCAAAGAGGGATGTGGGAATCGTAGTAATTGGCGTTCTATAATCCTCTGCTTACCCCCATTGGAGATATGCGATAAGTTATTTATTTATACGAATAGAACGGTACAAAAAAAACAATTACATTACTCAATACATAATATATATAATTGAAAGAATCAATACATTAAAAAACTTAATCATTATTAGATGCTATAGTTCATTTATCTCTTTCGCAAAATTCCAAGTATTTTGACGAAAATAATCTTCTCTATGTATGTATGTATGTATGTATGTATATTGTCAATTTGGTTTAGGCCAGCTATTATGGAGGACGAAGTCATGGAATTAGGATGATGATGATGATGAAGCCCCGGTTACCCGTTAGGTTCTCCGCGACTCCGAATCGGCATCGGCCCTATTGGGCCCCATCTGTGGTGGTCTGATGGCTCTTTGAGGCGCGCGCGGAACGCGACGCGCCGTACGCTCGGGTCTGTTTCTGGTCGGACGGGGAGCCACCCATGCTCGCCGTCCGCAGGCCCGCGCTTACGGTGGCCGGAGATCGTCCCGCGATCCCCGACGCCCGGTGTGTCCTTCGCGATGGCTGGGTTGCGAGGAGGCAGCGCTTCGCTGCCTCACGCGTCCCGCCTCCTCCTTAGCTAGCATGACTGCTTCGCAAAAGGAGGAGACGGCATCCCAGTCCCCCTCGCTCCGCATCATGGCCTGCACTAGGCCCGGACGTGAGAGGTCGCCATCGCCGATCACTTCCCTGAGGGCACGGCGGTGCTCAGCCCACGCAGGGCATTCCGCTATGGTGTGTTCCACCGTGTCCTCAGGGCGGTCCTCGCAGTGATGACACCCGGGCGTTTCCTCCCGCCCCATCAGACACAGGTACCTCCCGAAACTTCCATGTCCGGTGAGGACCTGCGTCAGGCGGTAGGTGAGGACGCCGTAGCGTCTCTCAAGCCACTCCTCAAAGAGGGGTCTTACCGCTGCAATGGCAGCGAGCCCAACGATACTTAGATAAAACGAATCAAAGTTTAGGAGTTGCGGCTAAAACGTCGTTTCTACGTATAAAATGTACATAGAAGTGACGTCACGCGACATTTCAAATCAATATATCGTCGAAAGTATTCGTTTCTGTAAAAAAATAAAAAATACGTGTGTAATGTTTTAAAATAATCTACCAGACGGACACTACAGTAAAAATTAGTCATATACCCTATTCACAAACCTTATGTTCCTATAGCCTTCTAAAACCCTTCAAGGAATAAAAGATAAAAGGGTTACAAAGACAATGAAACTCAACCAGAGTCAACGACTCACCTGAATCACTCCCCCACCAGGACTATCGTTCTTCTCATTAAGGAAACAGTCAGGTAGACCCAGCAGCTTGCCCAGCCAGTTCATTGCTATCGTCTCCAGCTCCGTACCAGCGGGAGAGGATGCCTGTTTAAAGACAGAGACTGATATTTACAACCTGAATCGTTTTAAGAACATTTAAAATGAATAGTTATGTACGATCTCCCTGTGAACCTGATTAAAAAAGAGTAGCCTATGGAGTTTCTTGCTCGTTCTTCTCCATAGGAATTTACACCTTGAAATAGCTTTACTTTTAATTTTTTGTTGACGTGTTTTTATAACGACTATCGTGAGACATACTAAATTAACTAAAAATCGCGGGTTACTCGCGTGAATATACTGAGAAATTTTTGCAGACGTAAAGTTCGAAGTCCGGATTAAATAATAGCGTATAATCATTTTTATCCCGGAAAAAATTGATATTCCCGAGGGAAAACAAAAGTATTGGTATAGATGGCGCTGTGTGTATTGGAATATATCACATAGGCTACTTTTTATCCTTTTGTGACGCGAGCGAAGCCGCTGGTAAAAGCTAGTGGGTTATAAAATATACAAAAGGTGTTTAATATTTGTAGTATAGTTATCCACATTTTGCCATTATGGCATGCAAGTATTTCCTAATTAATTTATCTACAAGTTTAACTTACACAACCACATACAATATACATTACAAATAAATTAAGAATTGAAATAATTATAATTATTGACTGTCAAGAAAGATGAAATTAAAGGTATCATAATATTATTAATGAGTCAGTAAGTCATCATAAAGAAAGTCGTCAATATTATAAGAGCATTTGTCAAGCAAAAGTTCTTTTAGCGTGTTTTTAAATTTAATACAGTCATACTTTTCATATTCTTGATTTGCTGCTCCGTTGTCCAAAATGTGATAGAAAACCGGCATTGCGTGTTCTTTCGGCGTATATGTGAGCTTCTCAGTGGACATCGTCCCCTACCATAATTGAGTACTTGCCAACTAGTTAAATTCAATACTTTTTTTTCGAACTGTCAATAACGCCAGTTTTCTATGAATTTTGTACGAGATTGTGTATTGTGACGTCACGTTGTTTTAGCGTCCACGTAACAGCATATTTATTTCAAAAAATACTAAAATTAAATTAGTCATAAAAGCAATTAATGAAAGTGTTATTATTTTTTAAAATGTTATTGTATTCAACAGTCGAAATAATTTATTTTTGATTAAGAAAAGCACCCAATTGCTATGTTTTACTTTCACTTCCATCACCTTTACTTTATTACTTACCCAAGTGAAACAGAGTACGTTCAGAGCGCTGGACAGCATCTCCCCCATGATGGAGGGGTACGAGGTCAGCGCCGGGAAGTACGCGTGCATGTGAGGGCTCTGCCAGTGCACCAGCTGAGGATAGAGAGGAATTGAGTCGTACTCATACACTATCCGTAATTACCATTATCCACAACAAAACATGTTTTATTGTTAAGCGAGCTGTTGCCAGTTACTTCGTCTGCGTAGAATATGAATTTTAGAACATAACTTTACTGTTTCAATTTTACAAAATAAAAGTAGCTTATGTCACTCCTTAGTACATCAGCTACCTGCCAATAAGAATCATTTTTTTTATTGGGACAAGCTCGCCACAACCTCCCAATACCGCTGCAACTCCTGTAAGCCAGGATATACAGAAGATACAACCATGAAAACACCGGAACACTGAAGTCCGGCGCGTACCAGGGACATGAGTAACTGTCTTGGTTCCCGCAACGAAGTGAATCAGAAGATATTGTAAGAGGAGAAGAAGAGAAAAATAAGTCTTGCAAAATTAGTTCAGCCAATCCAGAGATTAGCTACAAACAGATAGATACTTTGCCCGGCCCGGGTATCGAACCCGAGACCCCTTGCCCAGCAGTCGTATTTGCGACCACTCAGCTAACGAGGCAGTCTTTCTAATCTCAAGATTCGTAAACAGATCTTTAGGTTAGATCTTTTCTTATATACACAGTACTCAGTTCTTAGTATTGTAACTTTCGTGAGACATACTAAATAAATTATTATGTTTTCGGCTTACTCCCGTAATAATTTGACGAGGAACTCGACTAGTTTCAAGCCATGCTAAAGGCTCATATTCATGAGCAGCATTTCGCGACCCGCGACGCGGCGCGGCGTCTATCGCGCTGCTACAGTCGCCGCGTCAAATTATTACGTGAGTAAGCCAAAAACATAATAATAGTCAATTCTTTGTTCTTTTGTACGACTTAAAGACATTTAAAATAATCATTTTTAAATTGCACTTACTCCAGGCATAATATGCTCATCAACATCCTTGAAGATTTCATCCCACTTCTCAGGAGTTTGGGGAGCTTCCTTGGGCAGCAGCTTGTGAAGGTAGCCTGGCTGCACGCTGGGGTACACGCGGCGGTCTCGGATGTTCTCCAAATAGTCGGCTATGTAGTCCACCATCTCTTTGGCTGGGTACGAAAGAAATAACACAAATTACAATTCTGGTGTTTTGTCAACGTGTTGACTGAGTTGATCTTGTAGTTTTACATATTGTTATCAGATAAAATGAATAAATTACTGTAGGGGTTATATTGTTATAACCACACAAAGTCATGTATAAACGTTAGTAGTATGTGTAACGTACAAGCCTATATTTATGCATCGCGAAGGACACTCCGGGCGTCGGGGATCGCGGGACGATCTCCAGTATCCAAACACTTTTCTAATCATCAAAACCGGTTCAACTAATCGCGAAGTTATCGCGTACATTACATACATACAGGTCAGGTGCGGTGTCTGGGCAAACGGCTATGGTTTTGATTCCCGCACGGAACTAATCTTTTTGTGATCCACAAATAGTTGTTCCAGGTCTGGGTGTCATGTGTATGTAAACTTTTATGTCTGTAAACGCACCCACGACATAGGATATAATACTACTGTGGGGCAATGTTTTATAAAAACTACAACAGTTTGTGATAGTCTTCTGTTAGACTAGTAGAGCTTGCTGCCATTTATGGGGATTAATTTAAACAGGCTCACCCCTATTACATGGGACTCATAACATAAATAGTGAAAACGCACCCACGACACAGAAGAAAATCCTAATGTGGAGCATTGTTTATTTTAAAAAAACTGAGCACCTCACTTTTCTTTATAAAGTCGGTTAAAAACATTCAATTTTTATTATTTAGAAAAAAAAACAACCGAATTATTAATCAAGCCATAAAAACGAACTACAAAATGAAATCCACTACATTACATACAAGTAATTATTCTCAAGAAAGAATTAAAGCCAGAAAAAAATAAAAGAACATCTAAAGGGTCTATCATGGCGCACAAAAGAAGTTGATTGTGGAGTGAACGCAGTTGTGTTCTTTGTGTACGTATTTGTAAACAGGACACATCTGAGGCCTTAGTACTGCACGGTTAGCACGGTGGCTGGGCAACCGGCTGCCGTGCAACGTGTCGCAGGTTCGATTCCCGCACGGAACAAGAAAGAAAGAAAGAAAGAAAGAAAAACCATTTATTTCTGCGCAGAACACACATAACATAATTAAAAAATAAAAATAAAATAAAATAAAAGCTAAAAAATTAAAAATGAAGTCTTGTCCATGGTCCACAGACTTTTTTTTTACTGAAATCATAGAATACTTAATATCTAATATTATCTGTGGACCATAGACAAGGAACAACACTTTCTGTGATCCACAAATTGTTGTTTCGGGTCTGGGTGTCGTATGTATGTGAATTGAATGTGTGTAAACGCACCCACGACACAGGAGAGAATCCTAGTGTGGGGCAAAGTTCTTTAAAAAAAAATACAGTACCTACGAGTTTATTTTACGTTTAAAGTAATCGTTACGAGTTCGCGTTCGGCGCCCTGATTGGTTGATTCATTGACACCAGCCAATCAGAGTGCCGAACGCGAACTCGTTTCGAATACTTTAAACGTAAATTAAACTCGTACTGATAGATCTGATAGATTTTCTTCACACTTTCGAAATTGTAAAAGGATTGTTTAGTCATTTTCTAGTCACATTACCATTATAATACCTAATCCAAAGTAATTATTATGAGATGTAAGTACCTAATCAGACTTCTCGTTCGTCGAGCAAGTCGGTTTGGGTTCGATTCCTGGGTAGGGCAATGTATTGCTGGGTGTTTAAAAAAATCTCAGTAGTAGCACGGAGTCTGAAATTGTGCCCGGTATATGGCAATAGGCTCACCCCCTATTACATGGGACTCATAACATAAATTGTGAAAAGTGGGTGTTACATTGTACAGTGGCATTAAGTGCCGTAATGTCCCACCTCCGCCTATCTCTTCGGGGTAAAAGTCGTGATGTTATGTTATGTAGTACTTAAGCAAAGAATGGTCATATCTCGATAATAATCATGTTATTGTTAATGTAAATATAGAAAAATTTAAACTTTGTTTAGGTAATGATATTTATTTTTAACCGACTTCAAAAAAAGGAGGAGGTTCTCAATTCGACTGTATTTTTTTATGTTTGTTACTGGATTACTCGAAGACGCCTGGACCGATTTCAAAAATCTTTTTTTTTTGTTTGAATGGGTAAACAGCTTAATAATGTTAGGTATCTAATAAGGTTTTAATCAATAATTGTATATGTAATATGTAAAACTTGTGGCACCGACTTCTCACCTATCAGTGGGTGTGTAAGCTATATGAAAGTACGTATGACCAATAATAGTTATTTTTTACTTTTTAGTTTTTACTTTTCGTTTGTTTTTGTTTTTGAAGTCGGTTTTTTTTAAACGCAGTTTTTTATGTAATCTAGCTTTTTACACTAAACGAAATTCTTATTATTTATTTGTAATATTAATTATTGGTTTTCAAATCCCGGTGTGACATGAAACTATTAGAAGTATTCTCGAACTGTTTACAAGAGTCAGTGACGTCATCCATAATAATTAATTAAGCAATAGGGTCTAATTGTCACACGAACATTTATTACAATCATTGTAAGGAATCAGAAAGCCAAGCCTTTATTAAGTTTGGTCAAAACACGACACCAATTCTAAACTATATAGGAAAAGAAATAAAGATTTAATTGTGTATAAAAACACAAGCCCAGCTAGTATGTATAACATGTGAATAAATCTAGAATTTCCATACATTAAGGCACCTACACTATATGCACTATCCATTGCCAGCACAAATAACACAATTTGTCCTTAAAAGCCAATATCCCAGTTATCAATAAAGTCACACCCATAAAAAGGGATTTACCCTAACTGGCATAAACCAGTATAAAGCAGAATGAGCCGGTTACAACCGGATTGAACCGGATCAAACGATACAATATCGATGCGTGAACATGTGAAATGAGGGAACAGTGATTTTATTTTATTGGTTTTGTTGATTCAAGATTGTGATGTAGATTTGTGTGGGATTCGATTCTGGTGGTATTGGATAGTTTAGTTTCGTTAAATATTTACAGTTTTAAATTTTAAAACTACTAAACATGGATAAAGCTCCTTGCTATCTCGCCTTTAGTAACGATTGAAACTTTTAGTTATGTCTCACTTATAATACATATAGTTATGTTCAATTAATTAAAAATGGAGAATGAACCCGTTACCAAACATATCAATATTGGACATTCTACTCTCTCTGTAGACAAGCGGTAAAGTGGCGTTTGCCTAAAGGCTCGATAGGTAGCCGCGAAGCTTTGATGAAACCATAGATATTTAATATTTCTGTGGATGAAACAGACTGCATGACAAATGCACTGACGTCATATTTTACTCTCTACGTCATCGTTGAAGTAACAAGTGACGTAAGGGTGTGGTCTTACTGAGAGCGTTCAGCGATTTTTAAGATAGCTTTTATAATATTCAAAAAAGGTACAATCGACTTCCATGTAAAATAATAATAAATCTAAAAAAACGTTGGTTAAAATTCCCTATCTCGAAAACTACTGAAACGATTTTGATGAAACTTGCAGCATTCCCTAAGTTGAATATTATATATTACAACAAAAAAAGAATAATTTAAATCGGATAAGAAATTTCGGAGATATGAGGGAACAAACATAAAAACATACATACAAACATGAACTTTGGAAATTTGGCACATTTATTCAGATGCTAATATAGACTAACATATTATATGAACAGTGGGCAGTTTTGAAAATATTACATACATATGGGTCGAATTGATAACCTCCTTCATTTTGAAGTCAATTAAAAAGTAGCGTTAAACTATTCGCTGCAGATAGACCCAATACTATCTCTATTCCTAATCATTTTAAAATCGACAACGGGCATTTTCTAACTGCCTCGTTGGCGGAGTGGTCTCGGGTTCGATTCCCGAGAAGGGCAAAGTATTACTGAGTTTTTAAAAAAAAATCTCAGTGGTTGCACGGAGTCTGGAAATGTGCCCGGTAAGTATATGGCAATAGGCTCACCGCCTATTACATGGGACTCATAACATAAATAGTGAAAAGTGGGTGCTACTTCTGTGTGCACCTCTGCCTACCTCTTCGGGGATAAAAAGGCGTGATGTTATGTTATTATGTGTGTTACAACGGGCATTTTCTTTTTTAATGAGACGAGCCCGCCACAACCTCCCAAAACCGCTGCAACTCCTGTAAGCCAGAATCTCCAGTAGATACAACCATGAACACACCGGAACACTGAAGTCTAACGCGTGCCAGGGAAATGAAGAACTGTTTTGGTTTCCACAACGAAATAAATTATAAGATGTTATTAGAGGGGAAGAAGAAAACGATACTTATGACTAATTGATTTACATACTATTATTTTCTGTATTTATTTTTTTGTCGATTATTGATGTATAATTTCTATGACTAATTATTTGATTGCTTTATAAATGTGAAAAGATATGTTTGACTCGTACCTACATATATTGACTAATTATGAATCAACTATACTTAAGCACGACTTAAAATTGAGTAGCGTTTCAGTATTCCGACAATAGTATGTTAAACAAATAAGATAAAAGTCAATTAAAAATAAAGTAATAATACCGAAGAAACCAATAGAAATAACAATAATAAATATACTCTATGTATCCATTCCGATATAAAAAATAATACATTACCAAAGTGTAATGAAAATACAATGTTTTTATAACCACATTCATCATCATCATCAACAGCAGCAACATCATCATTTATAGAAATGTCCACTGCTGAGCAAAGCCTCTTCTCACACGGAGAATGTTTGAGCATTAATCACCACGCCGGCTCAATCCGAGTTGGCGATTTCAAACTTATAATTAGAAATTATAAGTCCAAGTTTCCTCACGATGTTTTCCTTCACCGTTTGTCAGTGGTGTCTAGATAATCTTGGAAAGTACATATAATTTGGAAAATGTCACATTGGTACTTGCTGTTTGTAGGTTTTGAACCCGCACCCTCATGCATGAGAAGGGCTTAAACTTCTGGGCCACCACGACATCCAATAACCGTATAAAATTAA